ATGAGCCTTGTGACTGTGTCTCACCAGTGTCGATTATTGCCGCATCACCTCCCAGGCTGCTTTCGACTGTCCAAATAAAAGGTCTAGGTCAGCGTTGTTCAGACAACCATTTATAGAACAGTATATAAACCTGCTGATGTCCAGTATTGCCTCTCGTGAAAAGGATGCCCCGCTTCATCTCAAAGTTTGCCGAATGGCTTGCGAGAGCTTCCGTCCAAGATATATTCAGTCTCTGTGGGCTCCTCGCTCTCGTATGCTGGCTATCTTATAGCCTCGGACGCCGATACGGCCATTTGCCGTTGCGGTTGCAGCACGCGGTATCCTGGAGACGCTTCTTCCAAGCGCCAACACCAGGCCTGCTCCAGTGGCTGGATATCCCATCATATCTACAAGGGGGAGTACTCGCAGCCCTAGTGATTGCCAACATCATTGCAGTCAGCGTTCATGTTCGATCATGGGCGGAAGTGCAGAAGCGAGCTGGATGCTTGGCGGTCACACACCTTGTTCCCCTCTGCTCCGGTTTTAGCTTCAGTCTGCCGGCCCATGTCTACCGCGTTGAACGGGGCACGTTCCAGTGGGCCCATCGGTGGCTAGGCCGCATTTGCGTGTTGCATTGCCTGCTTCATGGGTCCATCTTAGGCACAGTCGCTCGGAATACAAGACTTGCAGCTCCCCTCGTCATTCCGCTCGTGGTGCGTGAAGCGGGCCAGAGAATGGCAGCCTCCCCGATTTCTCTGCGATATGCTTGCTTGAAAAGTGGCTAATGTTGAACAGGCTGGCTGTAGTCTCCTGTCGATCTTGCCTTGGACGCTCGCTGCGATTCTTCGACGTTGGCCGCAACTCGGCCTCAAGGTCCACCATGTGCTTGCTTCAGTCGTCACCGGCACCCTTACCTACCATTTGATCGACCGCGCATCGGCCTACCGATGGGTTCTACTGGGCGGTATTTGCACCGGATTGGGCTGGAGTGCCGGGACATGTCTGCATACCATGTGGTTCCACAGGTCATGGCGCATCGCCTCTCGACGGGCCCTCGCGCGGTCTTTCAACCGGCTCTTATGGCTTGATATTGCGGTTCCCATGGAGTGGGTGGCTCAACCGGGGCAGTATGTACAGCTCTGGATGCCACGCTTAGGGGTGAGGTCCTCCTTGCAGCTTCCAGCATTCTACGTGGCTTCGGTGGACACAGTGCAGAATGCGCCAGGAGCACCGACCACTCGCATGTTACGCATAGTGACCCGACCCCGACCGGGCGTGACTGGAAGGATCGCACAAGCTGCGGATCATGCGACGTTCTCGACGATTGATTTTCCGGTCTGCGTGCTGGGTCCGTATGGGCATCCACCTAACCTTGGCCAGTACGGGACCGTTGTCTTTGTACTTGAAGACATTGGACTCTTCCGCGCGTTGCCGTTCATACGACATCTCGTTCAAGAAAGCCGAGGCCGGAAGAACACGGTGCGACGGCTAAAAGTCCTGTGGCAAGTTAGGCTGAAGAATTTCAGTGAGTGCCCCCCTTCTTGGATGCTTTGCGGCGTCGTGTGCTTATCGGAATAGACCATTCCCACTGGGTGGGGGATCAAATCTCGCAAATCCTCGAACTCGACCGTATGTTTGACCGAAACGATTGTCCCGAACATAGACACCGGGATGACCGGGGATTTGATGTGAGTGGATTTTCCTTCTCTCTATAGCTCTTATAATAGGTCGGGCTTAACTCGGTGGCAGATCCTGCAATTCACCACGCATATCCTAGATACTCAGCCCGTGGACCAGATTCGTTACCGCAACCGTACGCGCTTGAAATATCATTTTCATGCCATCAATATCGACAAGGAGCTGGCACGCCTGATGGATGGTAGAGGCGGAACGACCGCGATTTCGGGTATGAGCGCTCCCTCATTTACTCACTTGGGTTTTGCCAAGCTAACTGGTATTAGTGTGCGCAAGCAAGTCGACACGCGCAGCAGTACGCCGCATCATTCATTCCAGAACGAGTGGTGATTGTCGATTGATTGACCTGGATCTAGAACCCTCCTGTGAGTGGTGGGCAGACGGTGACCCTTTCGTCCATGACACATCCGAAACGATTGCAGCGCCAATAGAACCCTCCAATACTGGCAGAGTGTTTGAGCCCGGTTGGACACCGACTGCCATGCCCGTTGCACATGCTGTTCCTGAGCAGGCCACCCGGCTGTCCGGAGAAACCTTGGTGGATAATAGACGATCTTGGCAGAGTGATGATTCGGCGGTTAGAGGGCAGAGTGCCAATCACAAAAAGTGGGTTCGGCAGAAAATCACCGAAGGCGGCGTCTAGGTTAGCCAGTCTTGACAAAGTTGGGGGCACCCGTTTCATAGACACGGTCAAACTGATATGAGGTGCAGGACGATTTAGTTGCTCCAACAGCCAGACATGTCCAAATTGTTTGGTATACTTCATGCATTGGATGCGGCCGATATAGCTTTATAAGCTCTGGATCTTCCGAAACAGGCTGGAATCTGCTCTAAAAACCTTTAATAAACGTTACATTGACTTAGAATAAGTAGGTAATCGCAAGCATAGACTTGAAAGAAATTTGGTTATGTATTGTTTGTTGATGTGAGATGTGAAATGTTGTGGGGATATGGTGAAGAGCCGGGCGGCGAAGGGGAACATCTCAAAGTGCGGAGATTTTCTTTCCAAGTCACCCCATGCTATATGATAAGATGTATTAGCATGCAGCTTTTTGTCAGTCACTCTACTTCATTCAGCGACTATCCTATGTTTGAGTTGTCAGCAGTTTAGCGAGCTAAAAAGTTCTCCAGGCTGGACTTAACGCCACAAGTTATCTCAAGAGATGTAGAGCCAGCCACTCAAAGTCCAATCCACAAGTCACAAGGCCACTGTTCTTCGAGTAGATTGCGATTTGGAACACGAGATATCGGACGCTGAGCGGGGAACTATATGCTCATTCAAGTGCAGTTAGGGAGACGGACAAACAATCGATACATGATCCCGGTGGAACGAATCGGGTGGAGAGGGGGTGAGTTTGAGTCTTGTAGAGCGATTTATGCACCATCGATACGACCGTGATTGGTTACGAAGAAGCTAAATGGGCATCTGTTGGAAAGCAGACATGAACGATAATGGTTACTCCGGATGTATTGTCATTTCACCCTTATTCACGTGGTAGAGGGAGACATGCTGAGTAGACTCGCCACAGCCCATGGGCCGCTAAGAAGAACTTCATTCTCATGAAATTTTCAAAATTTCACAATGTTTTAGCTATATAAATATCCTATAATACTACGTATTAATATTATTTGAGTAGAAAAATATACAATGAATAGACTCAGTTGAAGTCAAACTTATTAAAAATAGTAAATTGTCGAGTTGAATGGAATTGAAATTGTGATGCGACTATAGTGTGTAAATATATATTTGACAAAAAACATCCTGAACCTACAAATTCACTCGCAGGGTACTTTCTACAAGTCGTGTTAATAAAATTACTGCAAATACTACATACCTAATACATTAAATAATAAGATACACCTCTATTTTGATTAATTACCTATAATATTAGTAGTTATTGGAAGTAGTGACAGTGACAGACGTAAATGACCGAATAGATTTCCAAAAGTTGAACCCCCTATTTGGGAAACTTACATAATCTGATGGGCATGTGGGCGGCCCTGGGCCCCTTCCCCCGCCCATGTGGCGAGGTCTAATGCTGAGGTCAATTTCAATTGGTTGCCATAGTTACGGATCATTCACGGTCCGATGTCGATCAGATGGCACGTGACCGCTATGTGAAGGTGGTGAGGATGTGGTGCGAGACGCGATGCAGCACGCGTGAGGCGTGCGGCGTGCATGGTGCCCCGCAGATTTACGCATCCTCTGCTGCTTGACAAACGGCCCTTCAAAATGCTTTAACACGCTGTAGGCAATCACTATCATGACAATCATTCGCCTCAATGCGTGGAAGGAGTACTGCCCTTCCATTTCATGCACGCGGAACTTTGACTCTCGTGTGGTGTGAGAGTGAGAGTCCCAATCCTTTATCTTTGACTCGGTTGGCCCTTCCAGTCGCTTTCACCGCGCCCAACAAAATACTGGAACGAATCATACATATGGCTCTCGGCAGCCAATCTGACGTCCAAGTTCTTGAGACTTGGGTAAAAGAGGCCGTTCTCATCCTTCGAGAGTAGATATTCGGCTTCTTTGAGATCGGCAGGCCGAATAGGTTCTTCTACCCGCTTGGTGGCATGACTAGCACAGTGTTTTTCGCATCTGAATGAACACACAATCTTCTTTGTCCCAGTAATAAGACACCTGCTATACGGACCGGAACGCGTGAGTGGTGGCTTCAGCACAAAGGGCTCGTTCACCGGGTCTACTTGGAATCAGCCAATGTCCGACTGCTGCTAGACTCATAGGGTGCTTATTGTTTCGGCTGTGTACATTGTTGTTATGTTTCGTTTCAATCTATAACGGCAATATTGCGGCAGACGGTGGAACGAGTGGCCTAAGGCAATATCACTCGGCGATGTAGCTATGGTCACAGATGGTTGACCCACGTGCTATTGATGCGGCGGTGACATGTTTCACGAATATAGGCAAAGGTTAATAAGCCGCGTAAAACACCATCGATATACGCCATGATTCAAGCGATAGGTATCAGAAGGTGGCGTGTAGGCAGTAGCCTTGATCCGGAGCAATCACGACGGTGTTCGGTTCATCGAGGTTCCATTCTAGCGCAGTTTCATCATTTACTGCTAGTTATTAGCTACTAGAGCGGAGTGGCGTTACATATCTTACATGTTCGAGTGGTCAAGGAATGATCTCGGCCCAACAATCGACCTTCGCCAAGTACATGGACGTAGCTTCATTTATTAACACATTCACTTCAACGAATTCATAAGAGCAGTTAGTCGGTTGAAATGATTATTAGTACTTAACTACCGTAGAACAAGAGAGACTAAGGCTACAAGAACGCCTACGTCCAAATGAATTAGGACTATACATAAGCTCTCCAAGTCGACTCTAAAAAGTCCCGGACAGTCCTCGGTTTAAAGCCGGGGAATCTGTTTCCAATTCGCCCTTCGTCTAGTAACTGAAAGCCTCTTACAAGGTAAAGTTGATACCCAAATACACTATAGTCTAAAAGTTCATTTGGCTGAATGCCACTTCCGTCAGGAACCTTGAGTATAGGAATATTGCCTTTTTCGACGTCCTCGGCCTTCAGATAGGTGACTACAAACTTTTCACCTTTATATAGCATATGATAGTTAGAACAAACTACATATCGTTCCAGAAAAGAGTACTTACCGCAGATTTCCTCCGCTATCCTCAAAACCTCACTTAAAGTAGTGTCATCCCCATTACAAAAGCTGAATTCAGACCATTCATCGACTTCTAACAGCTTGGCAACCAAGGTTACAGCATCATAGCTATAAATCATAGTGATAGGGGTATTTCCATCCCCAAGAATACAAGCTTATCGATTGAGAACATCAACGACAATATTCATTAGGGCAATATTTGATCGAGCGTATGGCATTCCCAGGAAATCCATAAATGCGCCACAAACAGGGCGAGTATAGGTCAACTTACTATACTTAAGAAGATTTGAAGCCTCTAAGAACTAGTCAATCCCTAGATCAATATGCCGTCTCCTACCGGTGTGTATAAGCTTCAGGTACAAAAAGAGCATCCGGGGTATAACCGGAGGGAGGGCCAGGGAGGCGATACTCTTCACATATAAAATACCCAAACTCGCTCGTTATAAACCTTTATACCGTGCTTACCTCGTCGGTAGCTTTGATCAAACTGATTTAGGCTTATGAACAGTCATCTCCTAACATGCCAATCGTATAGATCACCGTCTATACTACATGGCGCTCTAGTTGTTGTATAAGTGTTAAGTGATCATCATAGTCTGTTTGTACATATTGTACGTTGCTAACTAGTGATTCGATATGTCCCTAGTTCAATTGTCAACGGGTATGCTATAAGGAATTAGGGGGGGTTTGCTTTACTGGAACATACCCTTCGTGTTAGAGCCACCACCGAAAATTTGTTCTCATTTAGGATCTGTTTAACGATTGTTCTTCCTACGGCACCAGTCGCGCCGGCTACTATAACTGTTAAGGCCATAGGGGGTTGCTATAGGGAAAAGGCAAACAAGATCGAAGATCGACGTTCGTCTTCTACGTGGCCGCCGGGGCGATCCAATAGCACGTGACTATTATCCGGCTTAGGCGGAGATCACCTTCCCGAAGCAGTGGCTAAGTGGGGCTACCAAGGTCCCAGGGTCCGGGAGCCCGGGTTCTCACGATCACATACAATTGCCAGGAAGCCCTAGGGTCTATGCTACTTGGAATTGCTAGTGGAGCTACCGTTGCCAGAACTGAACCAGTAGACATCAGATCACTATTCGCAGACCCTCTCCTGGTTGGCCGTAAAAGAGCCCTAAGTCCCGCCGATGAGATATTTGCCTGTGTTATAGTTTAGAGGTATGAATTGACTTATTATTTCAGAGGGATATATAAGCTTATATATATAACAATAAGCCAAGTTAATTTCTAATTAACTTGGTCGTCCGTATAAACACCTCGGAGTTAATTCCGACAGTACGGACTTCTTTGTTTGTAAAGCTATACCAAGACTTTGCTCAATCAATTGATCTTCAGAAGCCATGACCTAGCTGCCACAGATACAGTGAGCTTTCACTTGCGCCGTGATGTGGTATCTGTTATTCATAAACTGACCTTACTGCACGGGACTAGCAACCTTAAATAGTGATTGAATACGAGATAATATCTAAGACGAGTTTTGAATTTGGCAGTACATTATAATGCCACCCCGGCCAGCATTGTCGATTTCTAAGGCCACTTATATAGTTGCGGGCCCTTTAGAATCAATGGGATAAGGGTCGATCTGGCAGGCAGCAGAATTGGACGCTATATAGCCTCGCTATAGGATACCAGCCCGAGGCCAACATCTAGAAAACGTAGCGTATATACTTAAAGCACGACCGAGCTTACATTAGGTTGACCATGATATTCTTCACCATATTTACTCCTTCCATTGTCATTTAGCTACGGAGCGTCCATGTTCTAACTCCATTTTCGGACTCGCATAGACCACTAGAAAGTAGTCGGGACTTGAAATAAGAGTTTTCTCGATATCAACTAAGTCCCAAGTTTGGATTGCGTATCCCAAAGTCGGGTTGGAGGAGCAAGCCGCCCTGAGGAGAACTATTGGCTTAAACTATCAACATCCAGATCTAGAGAGCTATTACAAATTGTGTACGTAAGAAACTTCACCGAATGCCAGTCACTATGAGATATGGATTCTAGCGTCAATTGAAAAGTGCGAAACTTCAGCTATCCTAGGTAATATTATCTCTTTTTTATCCGGAAAATCCGCAGCTAGTTGCGAGCGAACGATAACCGACCCCCCAGCATACCTATAGAAATGAAGTAGGATAAAGCGATATATAGTTAAAATACTAATCAAAATAAGAATGCCCCCGAGGACACTACTAAGTACCAGCACCACGCCCTATTTCGAAAGCCCCATAGGTATATTACTACCGGAGATTGCCGTGTCTTGCCATTCACGGTTCGAGGTTTGTGTGGCTAATATGGGTCCTATCCTCTGCGAACTAGTTTAAGAACTGGTAGTTTCTGCTAACGTTTTTGACAAAGTTTGGAAATCATGAGTAATGACCTCAGATAAAGAATGTATCGTGGTCCCACTGATACGACCAGCAAAAACAGACCGCTCGGTACCAGAATGGCTTGTCGTCTCTTTCTATGAGAAGTTCCCCTTGCCAGTTTCTGTGCCCATGGCATCTTTGGTATGCTCCTAGCTCATAGAAGAATCTAGAGGCGCCACGTAGGATTCCGATGAGTATTTAGGATGCAATTTATCCGAACTCGCAAAGCTTTGCTGAGGGACACGATCGAACGCAACCGGTAAAAGCGTAATTTTGCTAATGACTTCCTGAAGCAAGGTTGTAGCGTCGCTCTTTGAATCTGCTTTCAGTAAGATGCTTTGGTCATCAAAGCCAGTGTTGATGTGTTGCCCCCTTGTGGTACCAGTTGATAGATCTACCTCGGTCGCTCTTCCATTGTGGTCGACTTTTGTCGCAGATACAACGGCAGGGGTGTTGACTGGAGAGCTGGAGTTCGATCGCAAATGACCACAGTATAATGGTCGGTGCAAGTTCGGCGAGGGAAACTGTTTTGAGACTGGTGTTTCGTGAAGTCTTGAACTGTCCTCAAAAAGCCATAAAAAATGGTAGATATCCCTCTGCTGCAGCTGCTGCACGATCTTTTGAGATACCTGTCTCAACTTTGAAGGCCCGGATCAAGGGGCGCGAATCTGCTACTGAAAAGAGGCCATCTGGTCATAATTTCTCTCAAATTGAAGAGCAATCGATAGAGAATTGGCTACTTGATATGGACTCAAGGGGTGCAGCTCTTACTTTGCCTATGTTGCGAGATATGGCCAATCTTCTACTTAGCGCGCGGAAAAAAACACCCTCTAGAGATCGTCTCCCAGCGACCACTCTCTTCCGGCAACGATAGTGAACCAAATACTCTCTAGAACCTCTCAAAGTTCACAAAATCGCAATTTCGGATCAGAAAAGGTTTAGAGTCTTCTTCTTTTCTTTCTTCGCCAACAAAAAAGGAGATTGAGAAACCTACAACATTGTTAGGACAGTCCCCTGGGGGCGTCCTGGTACGATATAGATACAAGTGAAGAATGTGAGATGTGCCTGATATGGGTATGATGATATTCAGACTAATCGCTGGTCCTCCTAAGAGGTTCCCCCTCCTCCTTTTTAGAGGGGTCCCCTCCGTGCGTATACAACCAGGTAAGCGAGGTGATATATCAACAGGCGGCTCTGGTGGTGCATAGGCACCTCCTCCGCATTCCCTTACTATACCTCCTTATATGGTTGGCGTAACATGGAACCTGAGTTGAGGAGTTTCTCAAACAGTGTTGATAAGTTCGCAAACGTGCGAATCAACGACCCAGATTCGTTGACGGATGTATAATATTAGTGCGGACCAGGAATATATCGAATAGAACTTGCTTGCCTTTGACAACTATCGTCCATAGCAGCAGCAGCTTCCCTATTAATCCATTCGAGGCTCCCCATAGCTTATCAAATATCAGTAAAAAGGAGCATTCGTTTTTACCCGAAGCTCTATCTTAGTTTTTCCAACCTCTCGCCTCATATAAGGTCTCACTAGTTAGTAGAGCGCATTAGGACAAGGTAACGGAATTTCAGGATATTCACAACTTAAATTTCTGATGTTAGCATTGCGATCAGAGTCATCTTTAAGAGATACCATGGCGTAATGATAGAGAATTCCAACAAGCGAGGCAAGCAGCATCTCGGAGTAATAAGTTCCCATAGCGGCACACTACGTTCAGCAAGGATTTGGTAGACGTTCTTACGTAATACTATCTCTCCACCAATCTCTTGCCACATCCAGCAGTGAGTCCGCATTCTCTCCATCGCTATCCTACAAAGAGATAAATGAGGGCCTAAGTTCCAATTCCACCATTTTTCTCGCGTCCTTCCCACATAAAAGGTAGGTTCTAGTTTTTTTCTATTTAGCTCTGAATTCGCCAAACAGACACAAAGTCTTACGAATAGGAGAGGCGGAATTATATATCACTTAAACTTACATTCTTGACTTTATCCTCGCCTAACTAGGATTCAGAAGGACTAGACTCTAGTTTTATTTCCGTTCTATAGCTTAGCGGGGCAGATTGTATACGGAGGATCAGACTAAGTGCCAGCGTGATAGGGCAAGTCTAGAGGAATCTTGATTCGGAACTCTGCGCCCCAACTATCTAAACAACCCTTTCCAGAATCTAAAGTTTATAACTTGCTGTCTATCTTCTTACCTATAGAGACCAAAGATCCAATTTTTGCGAGAGCTTATTCCGCTTCACGTTCGATACGGCTCAGAAGCTCGTCGCAACTTAGTATATTATGAATCAACCCCATCACTTGCCCAGCATACCAAACCTATCACTAACGTTAGCAAACTTTCCACATTTTAAGTGGCTTTCTTACCCCTCGATTTATATCCCCTTCAATTAGGACCTCCCGACCTCTCGCACCACTAACAAAAGGAGCCACTTCCTTAAAGTCCCCGATCGCACTTTCCCTCTCAATCCTAAGCGCCGCAGCCGTAACATCATTAGAGAAAAGTCTCGTAGTGTTCGTCCACCTCCTCAACAGCAGCGTCGAATCCTCTTCACCCGAGTCCACAATCGCCATCTTCACATTAATATACACCGGCGCCTCAATCGTGCAAACAAATCTCGTGCCCATATTGATGCCTGCCGCCCCAAGAGACAGCGCAGCAGCTAGGCCCTACCCATCCGCAAAGCCCCCCGAAGCAATAAACGGCACGTCCCCAAATTCTTACCGTGCTCGACTCAAAAGAATAAGGGAAGTGATATCCGTCTCTCCCACATAACCTGCACATTCAAATCCGTCGATAGATAAAATATCTACTCCATTTTGATGGCGGAGCGAGCATGCTTAATGGTTATGGCTTTGTGGATCACGATGATGCCTGCTTTTTTTAATGCCGAGATTACGGGTTTGGGGTTGTTTCCTACTATCTCCACGATTTTTACGCCTTCTTCGATGATAACTCTAGTGAAGGCGCCGTAGTCAGGGACTTTCAGTGCTAGTAAGAGGGTGATATTGACCCCAAACTAGCCGACAATAAGCTTGCGTTGAGATTTCACATAGGAGAAATCCTACCGGCTTCTTTATCAGATTTCTTGTTTTCTTGATCTCCGCTCGCAGGGACTCTAAAATCCAAGTCGGTTAACGTTGCGTGGTAGGGCATAGGTGATTAATCACATACCCGGATCAGGCTACGTCAGAGCATTGATCTAACATTTCAAGTCAGCAGATGGCAATTTAAATCGAAATGGTAACTCACGATTCCCAATCCACCAGCATTGCTCACTACGGCAGCGAGTTCGGCATACGCAACCCATTACAACCCTCCTTACACAACCGGAACTATCTCGAATATCAGCTAAAGAAATATAGAGGGGTATTAGTGAAGTTCACTCGAAATTCCTAACTTTCTTATCAAAGCAGTGTCTAAAGGCATGATTGTAGTAGTTCGGTTGCCTCTCAACTTTCATATTCATATAATGGACGGAAGTGATTTTAGGGTGAGACCCGGCTCAGCCACGGAGGATTAAAGAATATTAATACTGGGCTTACGGCCGCATATTACGCCCGTATTTTTGTACCATAGATCGGGAGCCGAACGCTCAATGATTAATAATCTACCTCGGTGGGATAGGTAGTAATCTCCAAGGGGCGGGAATAAAGTCGCCGAGGTTGGTTTGACGCACGGGCAACAGGTCGGCCACTTTTTTCCCCGGCATTGTAGAATGTAATCCCCAACTTAATTGCTAGGGAAACATTTGAATTTTAGATTACTGAAGGGCTTTAATATACATGTTTCGGCGATTAGTAGCTCTCAATGTTGAGTATCGATATTGACTCCTCTATGGCACTACGTTTACGAATGTTCTGTAGCCTCAGAATTTCGTTCAATAATAGTGTCAACATTTACGCTTTATGAGAAACATTCATTTCCTCACCATTTCTGCATATAAGCAGAGAAGGCCATGTTTTAACATCCACGGTAGTAGATAGAGCTATATTCCTAATCGAGCAATTGATGATATAAAGTCTTAAAATAAAACCGTATAATTGTTCGCTGAATTAAAAATGCTAAACTATAGCTTTGCCTTCCTGCCCCCCTCCTACTCCCTCTTCGCCTATTCTGCCAGCACTCGTCTCAAAACTTTCCCAGTAGCACTCTTAGGTATCTCATCAATAAACCTAATCCCACCACGCAACTTCTTATATAGAGCCACTTTCTCATACGACCATGCACTAATGACTATCTCCAAATCTTCACCAGGTGTGTGACCCTCTACAGGAACAATATACGCCCGCGGTAGCTCCGTCGCCCTTTCTTTACTATAAACTCCGACCACCGCGACATCATTAACAGTAGGGTGCCCTAACAACAAACCTTCGAGCTGTGCAGGCGCAACTTGAAATCCATTGTACTTTATCATTTCTTTGAAGCGATCGGTAAGGAAGATGTTCCCATCATTATTAATATAGCCAATATCACCACTACGAAACCAGCCATCGGCGATAACATCGGCTATTGCTTTTGGGTTCTTATAGTAGCCTTTGAAGACGTTAGGGCCTTTCATCCAGATCTCTCCTTCCTAGCCCGGTGGAACCTCGTGCTCGCCGTCCATGACTTTCATGCTCATAGAAGGCAGGAGCTTGCCTACTAAACCAGGTGGCTTGTTCCAGCTTTCCCTACTCTAAACGCTTATTAGTAGAGAGATAAAGGAACGTCGGAGTGGGATTTACTTAAGTAGTAATCGCAGGCGATATTTCTGACATTCCGTAACTCTACTTGATTAGCACCTTCAATCTTTTGTAAATCATATCGATCAAGTCGGTGCCGAGAGGTGCAGCGGCAGAATACATTTCCCAAAGTGAACTAACATCATACTTGTCCACTACCGGATATTTTGCAAGGGCAAGTACCACCGGTGGCATAATATATGTAACTATAATCTTGCTAGACTAGATGCTTTGGCATAGCTGTAGTAAGTCAAACCGTTGCATAATATGCATAGTGACTCCCTTATATATAGGGTGGAAAACCATGACCGCAACACCTAATTAATATTATATCAACATATTGTGTAATTCAGAATGTTTTAGCTCCTTAAATCATACCGTAAATATGAAACATAGGTAGAAAAGAGATGACTGAATCATTATCTCAGGTCACCAGATGTTTTTCCGGTGTATTGCTCTACAAAATGTTGACGACGATATTCTTATGCGAGAGTATAACTCCTTTCGGAAGACCCGTAGTCCCAGACGAATATACCAAGAATGCCAGGTCCTCTTTAGGATTTATCGACACCTTTTCTCCTCCACTTGATGAATCTCGTAGCGACGAAAAATGTTTCGTCATTTCCTTCGTGTTAGGCCCTCCGATGAGTATAATACGATTAAGAGGCAATCCCACGACGAGAGCAGCTTCTCGAGCTACTTCGAGGCAGCCCAAGTGCGTCGTCAAAGCTTTGGCTCTAGAAGATTTCAGCACCGAGACCAATTCTCCAATAGTGTAAAGATTATTTACGGGGCAAACGGTGCCGCCTGCCTATAGGATTCCTAACACAAGAGCTCCGATGTCCGCAGTGTTAGGAGAAAATAGGACCATAACGTCCCCCTTTTACTATCTCCATTGGTTTCGAAGACCTCGACCGATTTCGACCGATGCCTTACGAATGTCTCGGAAGGTATGCCTCTTCTGTGTTATGACATCTACAAAAAGTACTTTAAGGTGTGTTAGTTAATCTTATATAAAATCATGAAGAAGTAGGCGCTATAGTGAAAAACAAAATTACCGTGGTCGTCTGGATATTTCCGATCTGGTCTTTCAAATAAGAAAGTCCAAAAATCGACTAGCGGAATCGAAATTGGAGGGTGGTGAGACTCGATCGGCATGATTGCAAAAAATGCTTATCATCTGGCAGCTTTCAATCCCAAAATTGGACGAAAGGACAATAGATCTTGAAAAAGGCGGAAACATAGGAGGGAAGCAGGATATTTTAGCTCCCGCAGGAGGAAAGAAAGGTTACGTCCGTAGATTTGCTACTGATTCCGGAGAGTATCCCAATATCCATAAGGATCGTGGTTAGCGGCGGCCGGTGGCCCCTCCAGCGGGCATACATTCACCGCCCGACTTAATGTTTTCTCATCAAGTCAGTGTAATATCTAACACGAATTTCCGGTTCAGGAAATTTCCGAATATTTCACGTGGCTTACAGGGTATCGGCCAGATTAGTAAACAAACTCAAAAAAGCTTTAGGGGCATGTTCCTGCCAAAATGTCACACTAAAGGTCAAAAAGGGGTGCTAGCAAGGCATTTCCCCCACGAATTCGATGGTTATTATTCAGAAGCCAAAGCCGAACCTCGCCTCAGCTGAAGTTAGCAATTTAGCTCTTACGACATTTTTTTGATAATTTTCAATTTTATACTTATTTCAAAAGACGCTAGGAGCAATTAAGGAGATTAAGAAGGCATTAAATTACTACACCAAGTAGCTCGATTTATTTGACGATAGGTCGACCGAATAGTAGGAAGCTCACAATCTTCGTCGACTACGGTTCGTTCATATCCCCATCATCTATCTTTCTCACAATTAGCATCATCTCAAAGTATCTCCCTACTCCTGGTTTAGATTCACCAACACCAACCGCTACCGACCTCTTCTCGAAGCCCACAGTGTCTCCGTCGACATCGTCCCCTTCTCCCTAGGAGGCGCACGTAAGAGCGTAGTAAATCCCTACATACCCAGACCGAAATGGAAAGAGGCATTCTCAGCTCAAAATAGTGACATAATAGACCGCTTACTCGGACTCAAAGTCGTGCTACCGAAAGAATTTCCTATTTCTTCACTTTATATGAGATTCCTACCCATCCGCGAAGGTAAATTGAAGTAGAACTGACATATGAATAGCGTGTAAGGGTTGCAACATAGATTTTGCAACATAGATTAAAGACCATTACGAGGCAGAGAAGTTTGAAGCTTCATTTGAAGCTCTTATATCCGGGTATTAGAGCAAAGGGATTAACTATTGTAATTCAGAGGGATAATCTTAATTGATTATCTTCCAGAGGGAATACGTGAGGCTATATATACAGCATAAGCTCCAAGTTGATTTCCAATCGACTTGCTTCTTCGTATAGACACCTCGGGAATCAATTCCGATGGTACGGCTTAGTTCCTAACCTACACCAGCCTCCTATCACAACATTAACATCTCTAAGACGGAAGGCATCATCAAAGCCCTAGATAATGATAATGATGAATTCATTAGCCCGATATAGCTCGCACTAAATATATGCTGCTATGCGGGAGTGCTATCAGGCCTGCCAACAGCTTTAAGGTGGTCGCCTACCCACTAAACGACCGTTTCATAGGGCTCGCCGGGAGGAATCCCCTGATTAGTCGCCCACGAGTATAAAGTTACAAGCAAGACAAACACGGTTACGTAAACACAATAAATAAAGGAAATTCAAAACGAACGACACCCTTAGCCTCCTCCATAACCCAAGGTCTACTTCGCCGCACAGCTCCTTCCCCACACCCCTCTTTTACGCAGCTATCCTAGCTGTCGGCTGCCGCTCTTATATTCGCTTACATCAAGGGAGTGTAGTGGACCTATCACTACGCTCCTAATGGGCGCGCCATCCTTCTCCTTCCATCACACTGTCCTAAGGGGTCATTCTCTCTCTTCAGCCTCTTCTGCATCCAGGGTAATTAGGTCGACTACTTAGAATTGACCCAAAAGACCTGTTTTGACCATAAAATCGGCCACAATTATACGTGCCTCCGGCCGCATCTAGAGCTAGTCTCGACGGAGAGCGATCCCCTGGTCGGAAAGGGCGCTCCGCATCCAGTCGCGCCCGTCTTAGTGCAACCGGCACTCGAGCAAAATATAGTTCACCGTTTAAGTGCCTAGTTCGCAATCACACCGCGCCGAGTCGCGTCGGTTGATACGATTTAGGTACGCACTAAGGCAGATACGCCCGGTGCGTAGTTACATCAGTATCGACGTAGTCGCTTTACGCAGTCCTAACCAGTATTCCATATTATTCTTTGTCGGTGCTTCGATCAAGCGTCTCGTCGCTCTACTAGTCTTCTCGTTTATCCACGCTCTCTCCCACTCGATCTTCGCCTTACTACGATACCGGCGCTTAGCCGCGGCAGCGAGGCGGATATATCGGTTAAGGGAGTTCTATGGCCCGTTAGGTCCTTAGGCGGCTTCTTTAGCGTGTCGATCTACGATCTCGTTGCCTAACACCCCTTAGTGAGATAGGATCCACCTAAGCTCGGTTCGAACGCCCCGTTCCGCCAATTGGCGGATCAAGTCTAGTCATCTATCAGGTAGACCTATCCCAACGGCATACGCGGTCGGCGGAGCGCCTTCAGCGCTACTTGGCTATCTACAAAGATAACCCGATCATCTGATTATCTATATCATAGGAAAAACCACGGTTTCCGCGAGCTCCGACTCTCTTACAGTTCGCAAGAGCATACGACCATCCCTATCCTATGAAACGTCACGATCCTTTAGCAATTCTAAGGGTCTTCTTATGAACCAAGCCCCCGTCACACTATTAGTATCGTAAGAAACACTACGATTTTCGTCCACCTTGATAATCTCACGAATCAATAGATCATAGGACAATATCTATTCCAAGATTTACCACGATTTCCGCAACCTCAATCATTTACTAAATTAAAGAACAATTAATTTTGTGTCTCAGATACTACAGTACTTGGTTTGTTATTCTTAACCGTACTATTGCTGAGCAGGCCTATACGGGCTAGGCCCTTTTAAGATACCGAGGAACGATGCCAGGGGCTGCTTATGGAAGTAGACTACGTATAGAAGTAGACTACGTATAGAAGTAGACTACGTATGGAAGTAGACTACGTATGGAAGAAGGCTCCATGTTATTTGGGAGTCGACCAGATGCTTTCCACGATAACAAGAGAAAAACCACTAACCAGGCCTTGCAATTTTTTGGTAAAAAATACCAGACCCTCCACAGGAGGTCCGCCACCCACTTTATAGTTACACCCAAATTGTAGATTTTTTCCAGAATTCAACCTACCACATTCAACTATCAATTTCTCCATCACCATGCCTAAAGACAACGCCAAAATTGAGATTCAGATTGCTAAAGCAATAGATTCTTTATCCCAGCAATCTAAGCCCAATATCGCGAAAACTACGCGTGAATTCAACGTACCTAAGGGCCGGCTTCGGTATCGATAGAATGGTGGAAAATCCCTATTTCAACGCCAACCTAACGGTCGGAAGCTTAGTTCTACACAAGAATCTGCTTTATACCAATTCATTGATTACTTCGATCAAGCGGGCGCTACAATAAACCAGTCACAAATCACTATCGCCGCGAATTCAATCCTCGAAGAAGCGCATACCGACCCCACAATTCCACCCCTTAAGGTCGGCGACCATTGGACTCATCGGTTCTTGAAACGCAATCCTCAATATTACCGACGTCGCCGACGAGCCCTCGATATTAAACGAAGCCGAGCAATAGATAAAAGGGTAGTAGAAAAGTGGTTTGAAGAATACACTCGGATCGTCGAGGAAAATAGCATCTTACCCGGCGATATCTACAATTTCGATGAGACTAGCTTTCAAATTGGTGTCGGTAAAGATCAATGGATCATTACTCGACAACCGAAGCGTAAAATCTTTAATGGCTCTGTCACAAGTCGTGAATCTGTAACGGTGATAGAAGCAGTTTCGGCGGACGGTTTTGTCTGTCCACCACTTATTATTTTAAGTGGTAAACAGATGATGCTACGATGGTTTGAGGCTATTCAAACTAATGAATACCTTGCTGTATCCGATTCTGGATATATGACCGACGTCTTAGCATTTCAATGGATTCAAAGATTCCATGAATGGACAATTCATCGAACTCGTGGTGTTAAGCGACTAGTTTTATGCGACCGGTTTGGATCACATTTCACTCGGCAGTTCAGTGAATTTTGTGATAAGAATAACATTATTCTTTTTTTTTATTACCACATTCAAGCCACTTCTTACAGCCTCTCGATGTCGGTGTTTTTAGTGCTTATAAACATTGGCATAGTGAGGCTGTCGAGTCCGCAACAATGACCGGATGTCAGAAATTCACTAAGGAAGAATTCCTTTATACAATTACCTCGATCCGGGAAAAAACATTTCGTTTACGCACTATCAAACTCGGCTTTCGGTTAACAGGTCTTTGGCCTATCAATTCTAAGTTAATTACTAAGGATTTGGTTGATTATGACCCTTACCAACGACCATCGACACCATCAACAGGTAGCTCAGGCTATACAGACTTCAGCACCCCCAAAACCACTGAGAAAGTGCAAAAACTAAGCTTAGCGCTTAAAGAGAGTGAAGCTCATTCTTCCCGCTACAAAAATGCACTCGCAAAGATCGCAAAAAGTGCTGAAATGCATACTGCTTTAGTGCATACATTACAGTCCGAATTGGACATGACTTCAGCTATCGGGGCTGCTCGCCGCGCTAGATATAATGCTACCCGGGCAAGGGCTCATGCTACCGGTATTGTTAATGCTAGTGAATTAAGGAGCATGAAATATAAAGCATATAAATGGACCGAAGCTGAGGATATTTCCAAACGGAAGCGGAAATGGGCTAAGGTCAACACACAAATCAGAAGGCATGGACGCATGCAAAAGAAATGGGGGCGGGTTATGGCTATTGAATTCATGTAATTTAATAGATATTTTATTCATTTCTTATTTAAAATGCATTGAATTCATTCATATATATGGTTAAAATGGGGGTTGGAATTGAATCCTAAAAAAATCTACAATTTGGGTGCAACTACAAAGTGGGTGGCGGACCCTCCTGTGGAGGGTCTGGTATTTTTTACCAAAAAATTGTAAGGCCCGGTTATCCACTAGAAACAGAACATCTAGCTAGCCAATGATATTTCGCATTTGTCACCCCTATTTTGGCTTGGCAATCAGGTCTCCTCAGCAACCTTTACCATTGCCGCGCCTCTTCGAGCAATCAAGCAAATCAAGCAAAATCCCCGCATGGAAGAGGGCTCCGTGTGGAAGCTTTCATCATTAATACATCCTCGTTTATTTTTAAATCGCTCTGTATAAGTATGTATGCTTGTGGGGTAATCTTAGATTAAGAAACTCCGAGGTTGAATTCCTACAGTGATTGCTAGTAATAAAACATGTCAAAGGTATAGTATAGAAGCTGCAGTATAAATTGAAAGAAAATATTGTCTATCTGTCTCATTCCAACATAGAGTTAAGCAGGGCTTTTTATCAAAGATTCAATGCTTTCATTAGTGCTATATTTGTTACTATAGAGAAAGCTAGAATATTGCAAAGGCTATACACAAGTTTAGGATTTTGACCCAGCTATGTGAACACTAAGATTTCATCATTAGGCGGATAGGTTTATTAATCTTAAATATAATTGCTTCACGAGAACTAAAACAATTACACACTCTTCGGCCTAATAAATAATCTATAAATCTGAGTCACTTAGATCATTGGCTACGTAGGGTATAGATCACTAATCATCGGCTACTAACACGAATATTGCTCATTCCCTTCTCTAGATATGCAGGCGTGGAGAGGCTAACAAACATTGCAAACTAACTGCCTCTGGGTGCTATAAAGCACCTCCTCGTTCCAATACAGGCACAATAGTCTCTGGTTCATACCCATTTCATAAACTTTATACAATTTTGTTCACCTAGATTCACTTCCACTATGCCGGATTGGAGAATCTATCACCCGACAGGTACCTTCACAGATCCTAATCACAGAGAGCAACTCTCACAGGCAATTACCTCGATATATACACATGCTGTCCCCGCCTTTTACGTTGTTGTCTTATTCATTAAGATGCCTACAGCCACCATGTACCGAGCTGGGGTTCCATGTGTAAGTCCAAGAGGATTGCACTGATGCTCAAAACGCTGATCATTCTATTAAGCAGCTGACAGAAGGGAAGAAACCCTTTGTCAGGCTTACATTCAGCCATATCGCTAGGCACTTTCCTCCTGGCGAGAGCCCTCAGAGGACTCGCTTTATGAATACCGCCCATGACGCCTTGAAGCCATTTATTGCGGACAAAGGCTATGATTAGGAGGTCAACGGCGAGGAGCTCGAACGCGAGTTTGTGCACATTAATGGTTTCAGGATTCCTCCTGCTGACTCTGAGGATGAAAAGAGGTGGATCCGCGACAATGAACCGTCTCCTTGGGGTCCTTATCTCCCGAACTAGCCTGCAAACAATAAGGTGTATGCGTGACCTCCTGACAAACTACACAACTCTCGGATGTTGTACTATTTGTCGGGATTGAAGAGAGATGGGTTGACGAAGCGACAGCCTATTGACAAGCATAACTTATGATATCTTATGTAAACAGACTACGATACAAATTTGCCCGTACTTGGTTAGTTTTGCAACTCAGAATTCTTTACACCCAAATGGATGCTGTAGAGTACTCAAAATATGGTGTTCTTACTTCCGACAACTTTGGCTGCGTCGCTGTAGATGAAAGCTTCCACACGGAGTCCTCTCGTATGCGGGGGGGATTTTGCTTGATTGCTTCCAGAGGGGCGGCAATAGTAAAGGGTATTAGGTAATAGCGCTAGTCCAGTATGGCAACTGACAATTTTGCACCCTTCGACTGACAATGATAAAGAATACGCCACTGTCACGTCTCCTCCGTCTCTTCCCGTGTGACTCAACTCCAGGTTCCCCTTCGACGGAGGCAAACCGCACAACCCTATCTTTCCACCCGGCAAGTGCGCTTCTCTGCTAGTTCTACCTATTGTATTACCACAGCTGAGGTTTAATTATTTACTAAAAGAGATGCATCAAACAGAAATAATTAAAACTCAATCTAAAGTCAATACTAACGCCTTCCTACACCTTCCACACATTCAAGCTGCGGCCTGCGTAGCTTAATCGACCGGCGAGACATTTCTCACCAACTTAACCCATTGGCTAATATCTCTCACGAATTGCCGTGCGAAAGTCTTACTAAAATCAAACGTATATTGCGTGGCCAGTTCAGGGTATAACTGAAAAGCCCACTAAGGGTAGTCCAACTTTTTATAGACCAACCATATCTACCAAATACCCGTCAGTAAGTATTGTAAAGTCGATTGAGCCTTAGTGGTCCACCTCCCATGGGATAGATTCACATTAAGGACAATTTGGAGAATACAGAGAATATTTTGAGGGATTCTCGAGGTTATGGTCAAACTTATGAGTCCAAGAATCCTACCATATCAATAATTGATAACAGTATTGTATCCGTGTCGGCCTCCCACCTGGCATCCCACTGGTATCCGACCAGCGGTCGGTTCATTGGTAATCATCAAATATTGATGACTAGTTATAGACCAAGGAATTCTAATACATCTGCAAACTTGGAAATCCACTTCGCCTGAAAGTTGTCGCTCAAGGAAACCGTATTCTCCTCCTTCGAATTAGTTTCCCATTCGTCTCTTTCAACGGAATTCCACAAGAGATCATTGCTTGGCAGAGGGAACTGAAGTTCACCGGCAGGTAGTAAAGGCCTGTCTTCCGGACTTGCGTTGCTCAATTTCACACAAAGCTTATACAGTGCTATATTGAATCGCTTGATCTCTTCGACGCCCACCCAGACAAATGAGGGCAGGTCAGCTTCCTTATACCTGGCGAGCATGTTCGGATAGAAGAACATGCCCAGTCTTCGACAGCTTCCAACAAGTGATTTGAGTAATATTAGATCCGCAGCGGAAATAGACGCTTTCAGGTCGAGGTTGACAATACCTTCGCTTTTCATGAGAACAGATAAAATAACATGTAGTAGGATAGCCTGGTATGTCGCTATTGGCCAGAAACAGGTGCTGCATGCCCCCTCTACTTTTGTGGCATCCCATTTCTCCTATAGCTTACGCGTCAGCAAATCGGGTGCATTGCAGATTAGTGATCCGACGTACCCTTTGATCTCGAATAGCAAAATCAAGCTTACCATGAAGCTCCACTGCCGCAGACTGCGCAGACCGTTCTCCCGAGGTCCACATGCCTATAGCTACCACTGAGTGTAGCAGTAGTGGGGTTTCCTGGTGTACATCGAATGATCCTTTATGAATGAAAGGCCAAGAGGGGTGGAATACCTCAAAATAATGATTAACGCACTGCTTCCTCTTCTCCCAATAATGTATTTGTGACTGTTCATTGTTCGGAAATGATGAAAGTGGGGCCAAGAAACTAGGATATTGCTCTTCTGCAACACCAGCATGGTCTTGAAAAGAACATTGAATGTTGCGACGAAAACACTCCTCACATGGCACGCCCCCTTCACACCGACTCTTGCCTGCATGGCAACTCGCACAAGCTCGGCGCGCGCGATTTAGAGGCTCTGTTGTTTTGTGCTGTTTTTGAACATGGCGTCGAAGTGTATCACTAAATTGCAACGTTCTATAGTCAGGGTTGGTTTTGAACAAGGATAAGTGTAAGCACGCGGATACCTTCGTCTAAATTGGCGACTACAGGTGGAACAGACAAAGACCTGCTGCTGGGCGTGTTTTGATCCTTCATGGCGCTTTAGATGCTCCTTGCGCCGGTACCTAGCATTGCAGCCAGGAAATTGACACCGGAACGCGTCGTACGCGAAAGGGTCCGAGGGACTCTGAATGAACTCGATTTCGCTGCCGAACCCTTCCATCGGTAAAATTGGCTCTAGCAACCAGCGTTCCTTCAGAAATGGCCTGGAATGGGAGGAAGAGTGGGCCTTGCTGGGTGGGTGTTCGGGTTGCAAAATAACTCCTTGACCTCCCACCGGCATCCCACCGGCATCCCACCGCTTCCGAGCTTGGAGAGAAATCTGGGACACACTGAGAGGCGCTTCACATTAGAGACTTGCACTGTCGATATTCAGAGAATAGATTTAGTAGTATACCGAGGAATTTTGTCGCAGTTAGATTTAGCAAATGCTTAGGGAATATTGCAGGAATATTGCAAAGAGCACGCTCTTGCTCAGTGCGATGTCGACGGGCGGCGGGAGGCCTTTAGTAATTCTGCGAATCAAGACCCTCAAACTTTTACTTATGAGAACTCCTAATTATTGAGATTATGAAATAAATTACAAAGCAAAAGCCGGGTATAAAGTACAAGTATGCGGCCACCAATCAATCGAAGAACGTCATCTACTCAAACAAGCGGGCTCCCGAGGCAGCGTGGGGAGGGGAATGCTCGACTTCTACGACCAGCAAGGAGATCTTAGAGCTTGCTGCTCCAAAGCGTACACCTGCTGATACTTTGAAAGTTTTACTTGAGGGCTAAGGAAACCATATGTTGGAAAATATCTCCCCAGGGGGGTGAAGCAATTTACTTATATTGGGGAAATAGGAAATATATCTCAGCCATAAGCAAAGAAATCAATAACCGAAGATAATCAGTTCTAGAAATAATGACCGTTCAGTATGGGACTGCGAGTTTAGCGAACTGCAACTGGGCACTTAGAACCTCTTCGCGTAAGGCCGATTTCTCAACAACTCTTCTGCGTTTCGATATTGTACGCCCTTAATAGTTTCATGGACTAGTTGAGAACTAACCCTTCCTCTCGTAATCTAATGAACTAGTAAAAGCATACAGTAAATGCTTTGTTTAGGAGAAACTAGTAACTAGGGTGTTAAGCTTTGTCAGCTATCGCGGCGGCAACCGTCAGCCGTCATTTCCAAGGAGAGCACTTTCCTAGTTAACGACCAACCAGACCAGCACCAGCCGCTTTATTTCTACGATTTCCTAAAAGTACAGAACTGAGAAGGTCGCAGGAATGTGGCCAACACAACGCGGCCCACATGGGCCTGTCTCACGTCCTCGGCGGTGGTCAGAAAAGATGGGCACATTCGGAGATACTAATGAGGAACGGTAGCCGATGCACGATGCAGGATGCCTATAGTTAGGTGTGAATGATCCATGAGTCAGGTTCATATTCTGGGCTTTCCAACAAGGTCTAGACTTTCTATCTATTCTCCGCCAAAGACAATCATCATTCTGGATTTGGGAGTATGTTCATAGTGTCTGTGTCGCCAGGTAGCAGAAGTTCTAGCGGAGGCAACTTTAGCTGGCTGCGAACAAACACAGGAAGGAAGTACCATTCGAGCAGCGGGGCTAGGGGAAGGACATGATCGATTTTAGTGAAACCAAGTGGTGGTACTTGGCACAACAGGCCAACTGCAGGTACAGTCGAGCGTGTCTGTCGGCCACAAGGTCTCCAAAACAATATCTCAGCATCTGTTGAAGCATTTCAACCCTCATTAAAGAGACGGTGACCGTCGCTAGGTTGGGCTGATGTAGAGTGCAAGCGTGTTGAGCGATTTAATTGCAAATGCGATGATATGTAGGAATCATATATTTGCGGCATTACTCTCTTCTCAAAAATTGATGAAAGTCTTTCACCACACTCAGCGCAGGAGTTCGAGAGGAATGATCCCACGCGTACACTCGAGACTTGAACCTGTCGGCCGCAATGTCTCCAAAACGCCATTTCAACATCCGTTCAAGCACCTCAACGCCCACCAACGAGAAATTGATTCTCGCTACCATTTGTGCAACTAGTTCCTTTGAAGAGACGTAGCCGAATATACATAAAAGGAGCCGGATTGCGAGCCAAAGAAAATCAGGACTTCGGTCCTCACACTCTGATGTGTCATGGTGTCCCTCTCTTGCCTGCGGGCTTGAGAGTCTCCGTGGCCACGGCTGTCGCTGCCCTGAGCCCCGCGAGCGTAAAAAAGTGCTTCGCAGGATAGGATCTGCGTCAACACCATTCCTCGCAAGGGGAATGGTACAGGCTATTGTCTACGCGGAGCACTGACGGTAGTGCTGGATCCTGAGGGGCCACTCCGATGAGCTCTCAATGGTTCACTATCAATCATTAGCCTTTAGATCGGAGAAGTATTTCATGACTCACATGTTCCATTGGTCAAGGACAGAGACGCAAGAGACGGCAAAGAGCTCCGTGGTCCTCGTGCTCGTGCATGGTGATCGGAATGCACGGATCTGGTTCTTTCGCATCGTCTTTGATGTCAGTCCAGTTTCGGATAGGATCGGGCAGAGGTCTACTTACCCGCAGCACGAGCAGCCGCACTTTCGCTTTGGAGATACATCCAGCGGCAGGACAGTAGGTTAGCCTAGTTGGCTGCTATGGCGGAGAGATATGTTTGCAAAGAACATACGCTTTGACCAGCCCACATTTTGTCTCTTTGATCGGCTGACATGGGAGGCAGTGGCATAGGATAGGAGTTACATCTCCTCATAGGTCCTGTTTCAGGTCTACGATGTATCCGGTAGATGTCAGTACATCAGAGATTCTAGTGCTGGGTCAAAGGAAAAGAACCTATCAAGTATCTCAGACACAAGGCCTGCTCAACTTTGCATAGTCAAGTGAATCAATTGTAGAGCAAATTTCTGGAGGTAGAGGACGAACTTATAGACTTCTCGGCTTCTGTCACTTACAAGCTTGGTAGGAAGCGTTGAAGGACACCTATCCTAATTGAGGCCTGTTGAAACCCATGACTTCTTTTTACCGCAACTATTTGCAGCGACATTTTTGATGCCTTTAGATACTCAGCGAGAGAGACGAGCAAGAGTCGTGTTGAGAAAAAGTGATGCTGAGTCGGTCAAGAAACGTTGGCTTACTGTTAGATACTGTTAGATCTTCCACAGCCTTTTAAATCGAGGCATTGTAGTGCGTTGGAAATATTCAATCAGCAATGACACGCTCATGTTTTTGTTCTGATCACCTCATCTGTGAGCGGCCCAACGTTGAATTACCGATGAATGCCTACAATTTCATCTCTAGAAATCATGAACATTTTTTCCTAGCCTTGGCTTTAGTGTTGGCTGTGTTGAGCCATAGGACTGACTGTGTATTTTGACTCTGAAAAGCAGTTGACGTCACAAAAACTTGTATGATGGTTCCGCCCTCTCCGTCACCCAGGCGTCCGCTATAGGACCCGCCAGCGACCATAGTCGACTACACAAGAAATGTCTCATCCTGAAGAACGAAAAGATTGTAAAACCAAGTTCTACGAGATCAACTACCCGACCAATTATAGTATCAATATGGATTTCATCAGAACGTAAGTTGGGCAACTACGGGTAGACTCTTGAGTTACCTATGTCCAAAGCGTATAGTCGGAGATTGTCTAAACTAATACCTGATGCAGAATCGACGAGTTCCGTGAATTGGTCGATCGCAACAAGTACACCATAGTGTGCTTCATCAGTTCCAAAATTACATCCGGATCAGTTGTGGAACCGACCTACACGCGCATAACTACCGCGATACCAACCGAGATGCTAAGCATAGTCATCATTAACCTGAATGAAAGCCCCGCTATCTCCTCGCTTGCCGATGTTGAAGAAGAGATGCTGTTGGTTTTTATGAACGGGAAGGAGATAGCAAGACATCCTGGCATTGCGCCTGATCAACTGGAGTACGTGGTATCAAAAACCTTGTGCGGATTGGGAGAGATCAAAGAAGGCTTCACGCAGGGTATTTGTTCGAGAAATTGACATTAGTTAACTGCTCGTTTATCACGAAGGGGCGTAGTTGCTGCGTTCTACAGGCACACGGGTATAGTGTATTTATCCGACGGAAAGAGATCACTGGTCACAATAGCGTTCATAAGCGACGATAAGCTGTTCCTGTAGTCGAGAATGACAGTAGTGATGTTCGCGCTCCGGGGAACAACTTTTGGCACCAAATGTTTGAACCCCGCGCAGCAAAAGGCTTGACAGACCAACTTGAGCTTACCGTGAGAAATAGACATGGCAAGCTTCTGCACACCGAACTTCGCAATTGTATGTATACACCCCCTGCTATTAGCCCGCTGTCGTAAATCATATTTCACATGGGGCATACTGTAATGTTCAAAGAGAAGGAACTAGACCAAGTGTGTAGGCCATGCCTTTGCACGGAGCACGCGCGATGGTGCTAGATCTTCCGGGACAGTGTAGTACGCTTTCTGCGGTTCAATGCCAATCTTTGGCTGCTAGGGCGCCGAACTATTTCATAACGCATGTATAACGGTTGTCAAGACTCGGACCAGCGGTCGATTTCGGGAAAGAGACAGAAGGAGCTCTATAGTCCTTATACTTGTGATAGTGGTCATGTGCACTTATCTAGTAAGATCGCCTCGTACTCAATGTTACCATTAGAGCTACGCTCAATTTTATATACCTGCGGCATGAACAATCGCGCTTTTGCCTTGGTTCATTATGACCAAGGCGCTAGCTCCGGCAACTCCATTGTTCTCTGTGTAAGCCCACCACGGCAAGCGCTCGACATGGTGGCAAAGACCCCTGTCTTTTGGAAGCACGCAGCATCCTAATTGGAGCCTCTCACGGTCATCTTCGATGCAGCCACCGAGCAAACTCAAGGTGGGAGTGGCTTCTGCAACAACGTGCTGGTGGGTACGATCGAAAATCGATATCAAGGCTCGCTGGGTCCCTAGGCGGATGGCGCCCAGCTGGGCGAAGGAAGTCAAGGCCGAATCTCGCGACGGTTGTGGGATAAAAGTACTGTGGCTGGCGTGACCCAAAGGGGCGAAGTGCGATGCAGATTGCTCGTGGGGAATATAACTGCCGCCAGCCAAGGTCAGCAATATTCATGAGTTGCTACTGTGATGATGACAATAGACATTTGAGGAAACCAGTCTCACTTATGGTATTCCCGTTCCTGCGCCAGTCGGTAGTGCGACTGCGCATCAGGATTTCCTATCGCAGCCATGTTAGAAATGTTGTGGGAAATAACTGCACATACTGAGTGAAGATCAAGCAAAGAGAGCAGACACCAAAAAAAATTTTTTACCCCCCGTCCGGCGTGGCCGTTCGTCTGGACGGTGGGGTCCCTTCGTAATCTGATCGGGCCACAAGGATAACATTGAAATGTGGCTTAATCATTGGGGGAATGAAAGCCGCGCTGCTGTTTAATCGATTTCATTGGTGGATTGGACTTCCTCGGCAATCACTGCCTTGGCCGTCTTCCGGCAACAGTCTTTGCCACTGGACCTACCTAACTCTTCTCCAAATTTGGGGGTCCCTCTGAATAATACATATAGAGATATTCGAGAACTGATTTGAATAGGGCCAAGGACTCATCCACCCATCCATCTAGTGTATCAGTCGACTGAACAGGTGAAAAATGGTGCAGTGACTCCCATCCAGCATACCGCAGCATGTATTCAAGAGCCCAGCCCACCGAAAATATCGAACATGAGGGCTATATAATATTTCATCCCATTGCTTTTCTCAATTAAGGTGTCACTTTTCTTCCCGCAGCTACCCGCCCCTTGCCGCCTCTTACATGTGGCAATGACCCCAGATTTCCCTATCGCCTTGCTTTCAATCATATTCCTTGCACCAAAATGTAAAGAGAATAAATCGCCTCGCATGCGCCATTTCCTACGCATCATGCCTGAATTTCTCTGAATTACAACAGATTTCAATAGTCGTTTTATTTTATCTGTAGCTCACTGTTACCTCCATTTCCTCCTCTCACATCACGATCTCATCCAGGGTGTTCATGATCTTAGCAGTACACCTGCATACCGCTTGAATCCTTGTCCCAAGCACCCGTGGAGGTGTCTGCCCATCCCTGCGGTAACCACATGGTTGCGGATAATCAGTAAACCCGAAACCCTGGATCAACTAGCTAATCAAAAACGCGAAAAGCCTTAGCCTGGTGTGGTCCACCAATGACATTACAGGTTCTCTCTAAGTTTCTCACTCTGTTGGTTCAAGGATCGCTGGATCTAGGAATGAACGATCATATTCGGTGTGCCATTCGAAACAGGATGGAAGACAACACTCGTCAAACGTTTTTGGTGCGATCGCCAAGGAGAAGGATTGGTGGTATGTAAGAGCTAGCAACATCCACTTCAGGTAGCTCTCATGATACGATGCGAGATTAGCTGCTTTCAACGTCAGTTGATATCAATACTCGGAATCAAATTATATACACCTCCGTGCTTGGAATGATGAGCAGTCATAATAATAACACGGCGGGAGTTCAAGGAGCTCTATTTCAAGTATACCATCCAATAAATTAAAAGTACACTTGCAGACTACCATTAGGAGATAGTGCTTACAATATCTTGTTTCGAGGCTTAATCCGTGTTCACTTCCACATATAATTGAGTAATTTGAGGTGAACAGCAGGTGGGATCCAACTTCAACAGTTGAGGTAACTATTCACTGGCTCTTATGTGCGGTCTACTATTAGGCCGGATGGACAATGGTGGCTATGGCAGGAGGCTCGGTTTGGCTTTGCTCGGTCTATAAATGGCTCTCCAGCACAATGTCTCAACCAACATCCTATGACCAAATGGCCCATCCCACTTCGCCTTCCTGAAATGACCGGCCGACTAAGAGACAGTGCCGGGTCTCCCAAAATCTGGAAGACGGGCCGAAGTTGCAAAACCACCCACAGCAATCTTCAAATGGTACAACCATCGAACCCAAGGTCGGTCAGGCCCTCTTCGACAAGAAACGAAGAAAAACCACTAATACAGCATAGATCCCAGTGAGCACACCCGGCTCCCTTACGGCGGAGTTTATGAAAATTCTACGCTACAATGACTCCTTCACTACACCAGCGCCGCTCAAATTGCTCGACTTGTACTTTTGCCTGTGGGAATTCTATGTCATCAAATCTGCCCAGAAGATACAACTCGAGGAAGAGCAGCGACAGCTTCAAGAGTCAAATGAGTGGCTAGCAAGCGACAGCGACATGCTTTTGCAGCTCTGCGATGAACAGGCGTTGGTTTTGTGGGATCGAACACGACTGGTTCTGACCTTTGTAATGGCGTGGTTTCAGCCTTGCAATCGAGCGATCCTCAAGCCTATCATGTTGATGGGCCTTGGTGAGGTTTCCTACATTGCTGAGCCCTCGTGGGAAAGAACGACATTTGGATAGATGTGTTATCTATTTGGGTGCGATCCCAAAGATCGGCGCTGATTTAGATGAGGCACATGCATACGCTGGTGAAGTGTCGTTGGGTCTGGTCACGGGATGTCAACGTTTCACGGTTGTTAATCCAGCGCTTGATTTTCGACAACTTAGCATCTGCCATAATCCCTCCTAATTTTTCCTCAGCCTCCGTAATTGAAGATATAAAAAATCTAGGCTCAGCCTGCGGCATTCTGTCGCTCCCAATCCTCGTCAAATTGCTACTTTCTACACTTCTGTATTTCACCACCAGCCTTCGACGGCGAGTCTTGAACAAAAATGCACGAATCGAACAAGAATGGTCTGTAGCCTTTGTTTCAATGGTTGCTTTGTGCTAAAATTGGTAGACTGTGATTTGGACCTTGACCTTCACGCCCTTTTGCTAAACCGATAGATTAAACACCAGTAGATAAGTTACATGTTCGCCCATTTCTGACTACCGATCGCGACCAAACGATTGAACAACTCATCACGCTCCGGCATCACTGTCAATCTCCAAGTTTTCTCTTTCTCGTCCTCAATCTCTAGGCTTGCTAGCAACTTCTGGTCCGACGAAAACGCCGCCACTGCCTCAATTGCCGTGCTTACAAATGCTGTTGCCCTCTTCACTCGCTTCATATCACTCACGGCAATTTCAAACACTGATTCCAGCTTTTTAGAGCTCATCAGCCTTGGGTCATCGCGCGTGAATAACAGGCTTGGTCTGGCAGACTCTGTGATGACTGCCCAGCCATGTTTTCCCTCAAATCGACATTTATATTCGCTCGGCCCGGCATAGATGATGCTTTTTGTCTTAGGCAATACCCCTAAGTGACCTTTCGCCTTCTCCGAGCCAGTTGCGGCCCGGACGTGATCAACGGCCAGTTTCGTCTCGACGACAGATTTGGCATTTCCTTTGAAGAAACGAACAATCCTAGAAAGATGTTTGTGGTTTGGCTTTTCTTTATTATCGTCGCCGTGGGCTTTCTCAACGACTAAAGGCATGGTCGCATCAAGGACGTCAGAACTGGTGGCAGCGAGAGGTACATCTTCAGCGTCAATGATATTTTGATGATCCGGGTCATCGGGGTTGGAGGTAGGTACAGGAGGAAGAGGCGTTTTGTGTGCTTCGCCGATGCGTAGAAGAGTTATTGCGATCTGGGTGTTTGTAGGGACGCCGCGAAGGATGTTGCTAATTTTAGTCAGCACTGGAGCGGAAAAAAACTTAGTAGACTGACTTCTTAGGCTGTGCAAGCTCCTTGTAATCGGGCACGTTTCGTTTGAGCCACGCTGCTGCAGGTGTCAACATTGGATCGCCGAAAATGACGAATCCAATGACAAACCCAATCCCCTTGTATACCATGTAATAATTGATGAAAAGGGATACCAGAAATAGAGGGACAAGAACAGCGACTATTCTGAAAAATGCAAATCGAGAAAATGGCGGTGTTGGTGAAAGTGCGCTGAAGTGTCAGTAAAACGGTGTGACGCAAAATACAGGCGACTTACCTCACAAATCTTTCCCAGTTATCAACTAGCTCTCCGATCACATGTGGTGCAATGTCGAGAACTTTGGCAATACTTTCTGGATTAACTCCAGCCCATATAATCTCTTCCATCGGTTGTTGAGTTTGATCGGTACTCTCAGTAACATGTCCTGGTGCAGAACCTGCAGATTGGACGGCTTTAACCACTTTGCTGATAGGCTTGGGTACCTTCCCTTCCAGTGAATCACCATCTCCGTCCTGTTGTTGATTGTTGTGCATACCGACAGCTCTTTGAATATTGTGTCGGACGTTGTTGACGAAATTGGCTGCTTCCTCTTCAATAGCTTCACGCGGCTGCTTTTCCGGAGCACCAGTGAGTGTATCATTGGTACCTAGCAGACCTGCTTGGGGCTTCTGAATCCCGCCTGTCCTGATGTTGACCAGAGCACGCGGTGCTGATGGAAAGAGTATGTTGCGAGCTTGTACCGAAGACACCACCAAAATCAATATTCCAAGAGCAAGCGGCATCAACAGATCAAATATCCATGCAGCGAAGTATATCTTACTTTATGTCAGTACACATCTTGTTTCGAAATTATATCTCTGGGGTGGACTTGTGGCAAACTTACCGCACAGAATATTGATGTACGGCCGGTCTCCTTCCAGGATCGGAGCCGGGATATTTGTTTTCCAAGGCTTGCGAGGCCAAGAACCACGGCCAAATAGAGTCGTTGTAGATGCAGAGCCACTTTATCCCCGGCGTGATCTTGGGACCATGCATCATTGAGGTCTAGACCACTTGCAGTTTCAATAGAAACCGCTTTGACATCGAAGACATCCTAATCAGTCGAAATTAATACTGTAAACAGTTCGATTGGGACTAAGAAAGACCCACCTTGTTGAAGCGTCTGATGAATGAAAAAAGCTCTCCGTTCGTGTAACCACCAATCAACGGATCGGGTATCTCTACGTTAGCTTTGTGCCAACCAATGTCTCTCGCCAATTCGGCATTGTCGCCACTAGGATACTCTTTCTGGATAGCACCTCGCACATCCGCTACCTCGTGTGCTAGTTCATGGCTGTCCGCATTGAGGTCCTTCTTCATAGTCTCTACTGGGCCTTCAATCAGTGCATAGGCCTGATCTTGCAAGGTAGTCACCATAGTGGGGGTATTGTTGTCATGAGATTGGATGCCTGGCAGTGTCTTCGGGTAATCGAGGTTCCGGTGAACCTGTGATGTGGTCAGCCTATTTGATGCGCCAACCAAGCCGTATGCGTTATGCTGTAAAGTAGCCAGCATCGTCGGACAAGCATTGTTTTGATCGTCACCGCATGGTGGAATCCCGATATGGTCCCGCGTTTCATCGGCCTGGGACGCTGGCTGGCCACTAGAGCCACCAACAAGCGCACATGACTTGTCACGTAATGTCTGCATTGTAGTCGGAGCAGCATTGTCATGCTCCTGGTCCCCTGATATATTGTGAAATTGATCTTGCCCATCGATCACAAGTAGCTTCTTCTGGCCATTTGCAACACCATCCGGGGCATGGGAGCTCTCTTTTGGGGTTTGCACTATTGATGTAAGCATATTGTCATCAACGTGATCCCCTGACGTTACATGGTCGTGGTTGTGTCTTGCATTTTGAGTTGTGGATGTGTTGTCATGGGTAATGATACCGTCGATCTGACTTTGCGTCTCATCAAGATATGATCCCGTAAGCTCATTTCCGCTCGGGTCTGGCCGGTTCTGAAGATCTTTGCCTTGCTTTAACTTAATACGTGTCTGCTGGTCCACTTCCTGATTCTGTTGTTTTAGGCCTCGTTTGGCGTGCTTATCGCTCGCTTGGGAAGTGGTTTTCGAAACTTTGACGACATAGCTGGCATTGTTCAACATTATGAATGCAAAGTTGCGGTCTCCACGTTGTCGTTGAACGAGAATAATTCGACTAGGTGCTCAACATAAAAGATTGCACTAAACTTCGCCTTCCGGTCGAGCTGTCGTGAAAGATAGTAGACATAAGAAATACTTGGATGGCGGCAGTGATGGTTTGTCCCCTTTTTCTTCCTCGCCCATTAGGGTGATTAGACCTCTGCATAGCCCACAAAGCCCATAGCCCAACCCAACCCAACCCACAAATGGGCTGGGCTTTGGGCCCTGCCTTCGGGCCCATTGGTGGGCTATGGGCCCAAGGTGAAAGCCCACCAGGGTTATTTCGGCCCATAATGGGCCCCAAACAATGCAAACATTCCAATTTATCGCAGCTGCATAAGTAATGCATATTTCCCTGGTTATTTTAGGTATTCAAATTACCATTTAAGCTGTACATGAACCATCTTATAAGCTTATAAATTAAGTTATGGGACTGATTGATAAGATATCAAGTAAGATGCTAGGTGATTGAATAGTATATTTACATCCTGATCATGATATACATACTAATAACGCTCATACATATCATCCTCAACTCGCAACCTCTTCCTCCCTGATGTACGCTGCTGAGTATAAATACTCGGTAATTGCGGTGCAGCAGTAGCAGCAGCATCATCATCATCTCCGTCAAGACTGTCGCTATCAACATCTATCAAATCCCCAGATATATCATCCTGCTCTTCAGTATCACTAATCTCATCAATATCGACATCATCTGGCGTCTCATCCTTCTCTTCTACTAATACATCGGTCTCATTAGTAGTAAAAAATTTTCTAAATTCCTCCGATTCATGTACCTCAAGGTCAAACCTTGATGCACAGAGATAGAGCATCAGCTCTTCGATGGTATACGGCTTTAAGGAGCCGCGGCGATAATGACAGACGTCGCGTGTAGTATTAAACAGACGCTCTACTCTAGCACCTATTGCTGGGATTGCGAGAACATCCCTTGTAAGTGCAGCGACGGCCGGAAAACGGGATTCATTCTCTCTCCAGAATGCGAGTGGCTCGGAATCAGTTACATCTATATTAAAATTAGTATCTAGTAAATCATTTGATCAGAAGGATTAGGATTGAACATACTACCGTCAAGATACTACGTCATTTCATTAACAACTAGCTTTGACTTAGTGTTAGATTTCTGGCTTCGAACAAGATTGTGAAGAACTGATCTTATTGTCGATGTAGAAGACTCTTATAGACCCTGAGTACTAGCAAGACGTTGCTGGATCGGAACAAGTGCATCTTGGAATGCTGCTCGATACTAATCCTATAGTTCTTTTGAGTCGGACCAGTCATCAGAAAGAAAGAATTGAAATCTACTATCTAGCGATAGCATTGTGCAAACTGCATAGATATGCCCTCGCATTTGATCAGTCTCTTTATAGTAATCGCGTAGCTTTGACCAACTAGCATCGAGAGAGGTAAGCATCTGCTGTTTCCATGTAACACGCTTTCGTTCTAATTGTCTCTTTGATCGTTCAATATGCTCGAATAGCAGATTATAGATCTGAAAGACAAGATATGATGTTATATCTCGTGTCTTTGAGAGGGCAAGTGTATAATCAAAGAATGGCTTTGTAATACAAAGAAGATAGTCAATCTGGCGCTATTGATCATCATTAAGGGCGAAGTCTTTCTCGTTGAACTGATCACAAAACTGTATGATAAAGATACGGAGTCTCTTAGCTCGCCGGAGTATAAGGAATGTTGAATTCCACCGAGTCTTCACATCCTGGACAAGCATAAGCCCTTGCCCTTTAGGTTGAAGTGCAATGAATGAATCCCGGCGCTGAGGACTAGCGCGGATGTAAACAGTAAGTGCTCGTATTCTTTTCAAAGTATACGAGATATCCCTTTTTTTGTATTCGCTCTCACGAGGGTACCTTGTTGCTTAGTCCATTTGGTCTCCGTAGTCTCATTCTGAGGGACTGCTTTTAGACGGTCAAGTAGCTGGTTCAAGCTCAATTGGATCATATGTGTAAGATAGGGGATGCGGATAATGTTGGTGTTCTTGGTATTGATTGAAGATTGTTGTAGCAAAGATTGCTGTAGGGCATTAACCAGAGCCTTATTATTCGACGCATTATCGGTGGTTAATCCAAAGATCCGGTCCCGAATTTTATGCTTAGTGACCGTTTCTAGGAGGATAGCACTTAGGTTCACACCGGAATGTGTTCTATAGAGGGGTTTGAAACCAAGTAGCACCTCACGATAGACCTAGTCAGCATCGATAAAATAGCTAGTGATAGCCATAAATGCCTGCCTAAATGGAGAAGTCTAACAATCTAATGTAACTGAGATCCTCGCGTGCTTTGGTAGTAGCCCAAGTATATTCTGTTGCCGTTCTTTGACACTAAGAGACAGCCGACGTTGAACTGTAGTAGCGTAGGGTATGGTCAATAGGCCTGGGGCTAACTATGATTATGCAATTAAGCGACGGAAGGATGGGCTTTCGACAAGTCGGAACGGGAGTCGGTTTATAGTAATAAACTGCAGGAGTTGATCGTTCTAGGCCTCTTACGAGAAAGGTGCTTCGGCTGTATAACCCTAATTAACCCTTGTTAGTAAGTAATATTAAAGGATAGGCATTTATATACTGATTGAACAAATCCCCTTATTATACCCTTTTGCTTCTACATCATTGCAGCATTTCGGCACCCTTTAGTTTCTAGATGACGAGTGATAGTCGTTGTGCTATAACGGCTAACCTTTCTACTAGCACCATTGGTATTGGCACTAGTTTCTTGCTTAATGCCATATAGATGCTCAAGGATAAGACCGTAACGCTTACACATCACCTTTAGGCTCCCCGAAACCGAATACGCTACTTGTTCAAACTGTTTCCAGGTCTCCGAAGCGGAACCATACTAGGAGTCCTATAGAAGCGTCTTATTGTTGGATCTATAGTCGGTCTGTAACCACCAATCGACCCAATTACTATGATTCATCGCGTCGAAGAGAAAGAAATCCCGTCTTTTACTAGGACCGACTCGTTGAAAGCACTCAAAGTCTGCTTCTAGAGCGATTGACGAAGGAATAGATGGCTAAAGAAACGATGAACCACCGTAGTTACTAAATGCCTACTAGGAAGTAGTGAATGATATAGTATCGAGGTCGGGTTCGAATAGGTCGAACTAAGATGATCCAATCTCGGTTTGCTGGCTTTGCGATATGATCAGTTAACGATTTAATAATAAATTCAAGATTGTGTAGTATAAAATGTATAGTAGGAAGGGTATAGGGTTTCAGGGGGATAGGTTCAAGGTCATACATTACAAAAGGCCACCTTCTTGATAATAGGAAACAGCAAATTGATACAACAAACAGAGAATTCATCACAGTGCTGGTCTGAATTAAAACAGATGATTATAATACTCATATATTATTAGCTACATCATACATATTAAGTGGGTTCAGCCCATCCAAAGCCCATAGATAGCCCATTCCCAGCCCATTTCCCGGTCCATTTATCAATATTATCATTCAAAATATTTCACCCAATAGCTCATAATATATTTTGAAACCTCCATTACATCGAGATTAGATGTAATATCACTTATCTATAGAAGCAGAAATAAAGAAGGAGAGATGGGCTATCTGTTGGTATAAAATTCAATCATGTAAGCCTATAAAATATGAATTTGTTACTTGAATTTATACTTCAACAGAAAGATGCACCTGTTTCAGTCTATATAAAATATATATATCTTCATGTTGATACTCAGTAATCTTCCCAGGCGCTATAATAGTATAAATTCCTAGTCAAATTGAAGCTTTTTTGTGTAATTTGTATGAAATCTGGCATCATGATGTCGAATTTAGTATAATATCCACTCAATTCCTACTTGTTATAGTGATAATATAATAATACTAAATATACAGGCTGGAACAGGTGTAAAATACAGTCATTAATCAGCTACATTATACATGCCAAGACTGTATTTGTGCATAGATATGGGCTTTGATGGGGGCCCACAGCCCAACCATCGATGGGCTGTGGGTTGGGTTGGGCTCTGAAGATTGAGCCCATAGCCCACTGCGGGTTGGGCTATGGGCTGGGGGTCTAGGCCCATTTGTGGGCTATGCAGAGGTCTAAGTGGTGGGCAGGTAAAACCATCGGCCGAAACAGCCTCTAAAACCGTGACAGATTCACGGTTAGTGACAGATCCATTGAATAGCTTCTTTTTTGGATGCCTGGTAATAATAAATTGATCGCGTCCGACGCCAATTTGAAAGCCAGTTTCGTCAAAATTGTAGATATCTTGTTGGCATATACCATGCTCAGTCACCACACGTTGATAGTCTTGAAACCACCTTTCCACCACAGTTTTATCAAGTGCAGAAGCTCTCTCGACGTCAAGAGCTCGCTGGCGTCGTACATAGTACTCGGGATACCGTTTCAAGAAACGTTTTAGCCAGTGGTCGCCAATTTGTGGGGGTGGTATGGTTTCGTCATGGTGGGCTTCTTCAAGAATTGAATTGGCGGCAATAGCAATTTGGCGACGATTTATCGATGCTCCGACCGCGTCAAAGTAATCAATATATTCACATAAAGCCTTCTCTTGTACAGGATTGAGCTTCCTGCCATTAGGTTGTCGTTGAAAAAGCGATTTTCCACCTTTCCAGCGCCGACGAAGACGGCCCTCAGGAACCGCGAATTCTCGCGCAGTTTTCTTGATATTAGGCTTAGATTGCTCAGAGAGAGAATCCATAGCCTGGAGAATCAATTCCTCGATGTCCTTATTTGTTTTAGGCATTGTTGGTGGGGTGGTAGATGATCAATTTAAAAAGGTGGAATTAAAAAAAGGGGTGCTATTTGGGTGATCCGTACTATATGGTTGGCGGACCCTCGCTAGCGAGGGTCTGTAATTTTGGTAAAAAATGTAAGGGCCGGTTACACCGCAACTTTTGAAAAATCGACCTGATCACACATCGATAAAAAGGCTACACCGTTAACCCTCAGATTCTCGGCCGGAGGAGGGGAGACGGTTCATATATTTGAGGGAGTTTGTGATCCCTGTGTAGGCCGACCGGTCATTGGCATTACCAACGCGTTTGGCGACGTCGAAGGCCAAATATAAAATCGACCAGTCTTTTGATGGGTCCATTCAAACTCTGCTCCTTTGTTAACGATGCAATCTATGAACAGACTCGCACTGATGATCGCTATGGCCCTGGTCACCGCCGTAGCGGCGGCGCCGAGGCCAGCTCCCAACGCCCAATCTACTGTAAACGTAGCCGATTCAACAATAATTTCGAGTGCTTTAGCTGACGAGCTTTAGATCCTCTCTGCTCCGTTTCAACTCATTGCCTCGGGAAAGCCCAACTGTACCAGAGATTCAATGTCACAATTCGCCGACTCGGTTCTGGCACGGAATATCTCCAACGCGCTGATTTCCCACAGTCTCCAACTTAATCGTACATGGTTGGACCAGGAGCAGCTGGATCTATCTATGGATTACAACTGCTCGGACTTTGACCTGCGAAATTTCGTCCTGTAGTAAATTGTGGAGGACATATCTTGGAAGCACTACATGTCATAAACACACCTCCGTTTAGATGTCACCGGTTGTAGGAAAACTAGGGCTGCCCACAAATGAAAAGATAACCACGAAAGATAGTAGATATCATTCAGTAAACGCGATGGTTATCCATATTTTGTTCTACTGAGATTATTATCCCAAAATCGGCAACTCTGAATCGCCCCTTCGTCTTAATTCGACAAAGCCACAGAAGGATAAAAACAGACCCCACTATAATAACAGGCTATCCAAGAGCTGGAGCACTCATATTCCCCAGTTTCCTACAATATTCTGCACAAAGAATTGCGGATCAAATGATGGTACGGGCAGAGAAGGGTGGATGCAAGATAGAGGAATCGCGCTCCGCATGCCAGGATCTGCTGTAGTCTCCATCTGCGGCCGCATAGACAATTGAAATCGAGTTTCCCCAGCACTTCCCATGTAGCCACTCCGCGAGATGATATCACGTATCTGACCACGCGCTCTGCGTAAATTTCCTAACATCGATTCAGCCCGCGGAAGAAAGAACGGATACTCTTCCACAACCTCTTCGTTTCCCATGCTGAGCTTGCTGAGCCGGATTTCTATCCAGTGCACCCGTTCAAAAAGAAAGAATGCTGACACGTAGAGGAAAATATCATCGGCACAGGTGTCTGGGGACAACAGATCCGGCCCCGTCCAGCTAAAGGCGCACTCGCTATCATGGTTAGGGTAGAAAATGCACTCGATAGCACGAGGCCTCTCGGCCTTATTCTTTGCATATTGTGATATGCTAATAGGTTGAATTGAACTGAGAGTGCTGCGATTGGCTGCGAGACAAGGTGGTGGTGTCGGTATATTCGGCGATTCTCTCCAGATTGACTCAAGGTCTAGATCCAAATCGAAGTCTGAAGGGTTTTGTCAGCGCCAACACTAGTCATCGAAGATGTTTCAACCAACCAAGTTGATCAAGTTGCCCCATTCTTTCTGTGCAGCACGAGAGATTGCACGACAAAAGGCAGTTTGCGAAGAAAAGGTAGGCTTGGAGAGTGAGCAAATCTCTGTGGTTTCATTAGGGATTTATATGTATAGGCCAGAATGACTGGCAGGCAAGTCTTTAGCGCAGAGCTATAGTACGGAGGGGGTGGCAGGGCGTTTGTAAACACACAAAAAAAACCAAACAAAAACCAGATATTTGGCCATATTCAACAAAAGTCCTTGTGTGCCAGTGATTGGGTTGTTCTTGATTCACGCAGATGCAGACGGTGATTGATTTGTGTTTTTGCGTTGAAAGTACATTCATTGGTAGTAGGATGCCTATGGAACGCCCCACCCGTATTCCACCCCGTTGAACTATCCTTTCCGACCCGTTCATTGCCTGCCCTTCCTGTTCCGCAAGAACCACGAGACCTGTTTATCACTCTGCCTACCAGTACAATACCAGCCATAGCCAGGTCAAGCGTGCCGATCTCATTTCGCTTGAGCGAAAACTCACTGTATCTCATTTATATGACAATAGCGTCTATCACTATTCTGCAATGTTCCGAGAATACCCTGATGTATAGAGTCAAAGGCCTGACGGCGATCCCACAGCAGCAGCTCCTGGTTATTACAGCATTCTTGGAGCTTCTCATTCTCCCCCACCAGCCATTCGTTGGAGTCTTGTAGGAAACGACGTTCCTCTTCCAAGCGTATTTTGCCGGCGGACTTGATAATGTAACACTCCCACAGGCACAAATAGAGGTCCAGGAGGTCAACAGCGGAGGATGCTAAAGCGGGTTTCTTTTGCAGGATTTGGGTTAAATCACTGGTTAGGGAACAGGCCGCACCCATCGAGGTTGTCTGTTATTTGGTTAGAGCCGATCAAATACGGATCTAGTGAAATCTGACCTTTGTCTCGCCCGGTGTAATCTTTTCGAAGAGTTTGTCACTTGTTTGGTGCTGCCTGGCGTCCCAACTGGCTTCTCATATGAATCTGGTGATTCTCGCTTTCTTTTGTTGGCCCATCCCGAAGGAGGGTGGGAAGCAGGAGTGTCCATTGGGTTGGAGGGATTCAAAGCTCCTCTATATTCAGATAGAAGAGGACAGAGAGTTGAAGATAGTCAATCTAAGTCGAGGAAATAGGGTTTTTTTATATTATATGCCAATCTACCGCATCACGCTAAATTGGTTTTTTCTTAGGGAGAGCCATTGGCCACCGCAGAACAAACTGTCTTTAACCATGCAACTAACAATCACGATAAACAAACCCGCATTGAACTGTTCTAATATTGCACCCGACTCAATTAAAGGATGCCTTACTGAGGGCAAAGCTGTTTGAACTGTCGGTTACACCTAATCGTGCTCATCTAACTGAGGGCCGGCAAGAAACCGCGGGCGCGCGCAGGCACAGGTAAACATTTCGCTGGGCCGGCTCAATTGTACGGATTAGAGACAAAGCCGCGAATAATGTATAATATAAATGGGAAAAAGGTCGACTTCGTGGCTGCGAAATGACCAATCAAAAATCATCTCTGTTGGATTTGCTTGGAAAATTGTCTAGATGCACCTAATATGTTTGTGCGTGGTTTGGCGCTTACGGCAGGCTACACAATCACGCTCCGACTTCTGAGCCAAAGCTCTCAATGAAATGGTTGTTCCCGAGTCAAAGCTACTCTCACTCTCGCAATCGCTCTAATATGTAGGCATTTTATTGTAAGGTAGGTTTGAGCGACGCGCAATAGCTATCTGGAGAAACGGCTCTGACTACGCAAGGCAAAGAGCCTATCGCATCATCATGTTTTACCTACGATTCGTATGTTCGAGCGAGACCAAATCACATGGTTCTAAACCTCGTAGGCCTGACCTTGAGTGTATAATGTATTGCGTGATCATGGTTGAAGAATATTTGAATTCGATCATCTCTAATGAGTTGGAGACTGTACGCCAACGTCACCGAGTGACCATCAGGGGTGAAAAAGGACTTGCGGAATCGAAACAATGCAATTGATGCAAACCGGGCTGCCTCTGTGAGACGTCGACCACCACTTCCTTCACCGCCCGACCATTCACCACAAGTTGCACAACAGTGATGTTTCACTACACACATTTCATCACATCAACACCAAGGTCCAATTCTCTCCAACTCTCACTAAGACTCAGGGCTCGTCACGGCTCATCACAACAAACATTCCATCAAAACAAGCACCCTAGCACTCACAGTTCTGTTTACTCTACGCCTGAATCAAGGATACCAATTTCCATTACAGCGAAGGGACTATAGGTCCGCAAACTATCAATGCAGAACAATTGGGAATACGGCGCTCGATAACGAAGGTTGAGTCTTGAATTCACGATTCTGGTGATTGGTTTGCATCTATCTAGGGCTCATTCTATTTCTCCAATGATGATCCTTAGAAATACGAAACAGATGATGATGTTGCGCAGCCCACCTTTCCTCAACCGAGTGACCCCCACCCCCCGGAACCGACCGCTTTATGTGAGCGCAGGGCATACGCAGATGCAATATTGGTGGGGCGAAAATCCCTTTGCTGCCGAGGTACCGGCTCCACGGCTTGCTTGACCTGGTTGAACGAAGCTTGCTGGTGTTGAACTTATTAGAAATTTGAATGATGCAGAACGACTCGTACTTCAACAACGGGCATTTACAAGCCGAGGCAGATAATCTACTAGCTTTTCAACGTTAATGTCAGTTGCCAACTTCAGGCGCTGGTGGCGAGCACCCGGCATCTAATGTTGAGGCCTTCTCCTGCGCGCATGTAGGTCCCCTAGTACTGACCAGCGTGCATACTGACCACCTGTTATCGGCTCCACGTCCAGGTCGCCTGAATGGGAACGGATAGCAATTCAAGCGTACATGTTGCGTTCCTCTGTGCAAAATTATGATCCCTGAGAGATCTCGGAGATCTTTCATGAATAAATGGATCGGGTTACCCTTGTTAGCCCGTCTTCCCGCAATCCCGGACGCCTCACAGAGTGTTCGGCAAGGCTGCAGGGCGCGCTAATGCAGTCACGTGTATCGAACAATGGGAAATGTGGGTCTGGCCTATGGACTAGCGTCAACACTTGACCAATCACTGTTAGCCCGCTGCCACCCCACCCTTCCCCTTTTCCCTAGCCATGTCCTGGAATTCCTCCTCCGTCGACCTTTCCCGCATACGTTAGAGAAGTGTTGCGACCATGGCTGATGATATGGAACAAATCGCGGTGGTAAGTGGTGCTTTTATGTTCTAATGTAGTCCTTCTCACCCTCCTGCCTAGGACCCTGATTTCTACTCTATGGCCACTGGCTATGGCATGGATCCGCAAGACTTTCAGTCGTGAGTGTCACTGCGAATCATACCTATCGTCGCATTCTCACTTTGATACGGTTTCAGGGAGACCACCTCTATTGCGTCCACGATCGCGAGAGGACGGTTAGAAAACGGCCGAAGGCGAGTCCACTTCCAGTCTAAGATCGCTTTCTAAGCCTAACCCGAAATGTAGATACCAGGCCACTAAGGAAAATGACTACTGGTTTATAGCGATGCCCCGATTTGATTTTATATATAGTAACAATGTCTAGGGGTCCTTCTGACGAGCAGCAGTTTGAGGCGTTTGAGATTGGGTGAGCCGCATCCCATCCCCATACCTTCCATGTCTCACTAGCTAGAATGTCTGCGAATTTAACAAACGCAGCCACATGGTGTTTCTCGTGCTAGACTATAATCAGCGGAATCCTCTTTTCCGCGCCCCTATCGGCGATTCATGCTTGAACCTCCCGCTAATATCACAATATATAATATTTTGGACATCGGAACTGGTCAAGGGAATTGGGCTATGTAATTGAACGAGTTATTCTTTTCAAAAGAACATCTAACAGGTCCTTAGTGATGTTGCCGATCTCTATCCGTCTGGTATTGTATTTCTTGATTCGACTCCTTCTATTCTTGCACTGACACTGGTTAGCTATCGTCCGTGGCGTGGATATCTTCCCCCCGCCCGTGACATGGATGCCCCCGAACTGCGTCTTCGAAGTGGATGATGTGCTTCGCGAGTGGACATGGACAGAGTCGTTTGACTTTATCCATATGCGCCTAATGTACGGCGCCTTCCCTCCTGAGGGATGGGACCAGCGTGGACCGTTTACCACCATTATGACGAATAATCATGTCGTCGAGATCGTCAGAGGTCAAAATATCTCTTTGATCTCCCTCTCGGTAAAATTGACCGCTATTCAAAGGCTAAGAATAGGAATTTCTGGAAGCTAGGCAGAACACAAAAAGTACCTGTCTAGATCCGCATTGTCAATACGGATATTAAATTTCAAGTCATCCTGGATTTGAATCTGAAGGTATTGTTGGGACAGTGTAGACACCATATTATGAATATAAGCCGATTGAATTCCAGGAACTATTACGATATGAGTGCGGAAGTGAATAGTGTAGCACCGATCAAAGTTTTTACAGATCTGGAGTTCAGCGCTTTATACCAATAGAGGAGTGACGTATTTATGACGCCGACCATTTTTTCAACCACAGAAACACACACGTATTTCGGCACTTTTTTTTCCTTCGGGTGGTCTTTTTGGACTAACCTTGGGCCACTAGGGCCCTCCTGATGCTGGAGGTGATTGCTAGCATCTGGAATTCATCCCATAGAAAGACTGCCATCCCATCGAGCTACAGACCCGGCTTTTCCAGTAGATAGTCACAGAGCGCTATTAACATCGGCCGTGTTATGCTTTGTCTCCGACCGACACGGTTCTGGGGCATGGACATGTCCAAAAAGTCGCAGGTTCCTGCGAATGTTTTTGATCGTCTGTTCGCTCTATTCGGCCGCCTGGGCCATTTGAGAGCAGGTTAGCGACTGGTTTTGTATCATATCACTAATAAGATGTAGCTTGGACGGGGGTACATGTATTGTGAGTCACTGTTTGTACTATCCGGTATGTACCGAGTAGGCCCCTAGATCGTCACTTCGACATGGGAGTGGTAGGGGGAAGTGACACCTTGCAGATTCTCAGGCCTACCCCAACTCCTCTTATTTTACCGCTTTTCGACTTTTAATGACCTCAATCTACCGACCAAATCAAGGCTTATAGTTCGCATTTTGCGCCTGTCATCTGACTGTCATCTCAATCTACTTCCATTATTTAGAGTTTGTTGTGGTCGGCTCGTATTTCGGAGAGATTTCCTCCAATGATATTTCATACACCCACTGTTTGTTGAGACGAGTCGAGAACCGGGCATGCATTTATCTAGAGCCTTTACTGTCTTTATTTAAAAGTAATTCTCTCCGCAAGCAATTTGTATGTGACAACATATAACAAGTAACACAACCAGGTCCTCATTATTCCATGACACATACAGTATAAGCTTCGTCTGATCATGTCTTTGCAATCCGATTTCCCATTACCAATCACCCCGACCGAAGAAGCCTCCCTATCAGATGAAGGACCGGAAGGGGAGGCAGACTTTTGGGGATTCGACGGAGGAAACCCGAGCCTTCTGTCAATGGCACTATGGGACTCTTCACGGATAGCCAAAATGTCTGAGACTGAGGAGAAAATCAATGGCGATAAAGCGAGCTGTTCGCTACCGGTATCTGTAACCAAGCCTACCCGAATTCTATCATTGCAGAGGGGGTTGGTCGATGATAAGTTCGGCTATGAAACTGAGATCTTTGACCGCCGCTGTCGTGAAGCCAATATCCACAGGTCGTCGAATCTGGACTCAAGGCCTGAGATGAACAATTGCCCCGGAGGCCCACCTCAGCGTTTCCCCAAAAGCCGGTTTTCGCTTTACCACAAAGCGCATCATAAACGATCGAACTCGACTGCCACGCAGAAAAGAAGCTTCGCATATGGTAGGCGTGTACGTTTCCCGGTTAACCGTAAACACCATTCAAGATATCGCAAATATTCGCGAATATGGAACTAGTAAATAACGCCCGGGTTCAGACTCGTCTATGTCACGAACTGTGATTTGTGGGGGAAGACATGTCATCATGTGTAGTACTGTCTGGTGTCAAGGAAACGCATGGCTCATTATTTGGACACTACGGGGATATGACAGCTTGCCACGATCGGGAGGCTCAAGCTCTCGTGTTCGGTTAATTTGCATTCTTATTCGTTGTTCCGGCTTCCTCCGGATTGCCCTTCAAACTTCAAATTACTGGAACATGAGTCATAAATTCATTTTAGTATGGCAAACCCCGTATGATGTCGATACAGGAATAATGCTATTTCGGAGCTTTTCTTGATACAGACGAATGTATCTTCGTATTAAGGTTTGAAAAACAATCAAAGAGTGTGTAGGTGGTAAACATCAATTTCCGGAAATATTCTATAAAGTCCGTAATAGAAAATCAACAGGAAAGCAAAGAGCTCTTTGGCTGACTCTGTGTGGGGCTCAGTCATTTGGGGCTCTAACGTGGGGGCTAAAATAAGAAAGGCCTGGCCAATCTTTGGGCGCTGATGGTGATCGAAACGATCGGGATCTGCCGCAGCTCACGATACCTATTGATACGTGTCGACGATCGATGAATCGGTAAGTTCTCGTTCGTAGCAATGAATTATCACTAAACAGCTGTCTCTTCTAAGTCTATCCGTCTGTCGGTTCTTCATACATACTAGAACTCAGGGGCTTGCTTCTTAGTAAGCTCCTTTTCTGTGGATCCTCTCTGAAACAGGCACTAGTGGTAATCTACCACTGACAATACGCGCTACTTGGGTCTCAAATGGCTCTGAACGTATCTCGCGAACCTCCTGAACTGAAAGATCCCCTTCGTGATCCTATCTGCCTGGTAGATTGGGTCCGCTTTTGCTTCTTCTCGTTTTCAGCGCGTAATTCCTTATTTTCTCTCGCTAAAATTGTGGCGCCTTGTATCGCGAGTTGGAAGCCCTTAACAAGTTGGTTTAATGCACGATCCGATGGTCTTGGTGGACTTCGAGATCCTGTACGAAGTAAAGATTTGATTGATGAAGCCTGTCGACGTACTTCTTTCTCTGTAGAAGGGGTTTTGGGGGTAAAACTCCGGCTTGATTCGCTACCCCGGCTCGGAGGGGGGGTCGGTGTTCGAAGATGAATATTAGGCTTTGAAATCACTCAATAGGGTATATAAACTAGCATTTATATAGTAGTCGTAGAATATATAGTATCCCACCAGGAAACGCCAGAATATTGGCCACATTATGTAGCCGTCATCCCGGAATCATAAAAGCCCGTATTTTGAGCCGACGATCGCGAAAGGCTTCTATTATAGGTGGGTTTAAGACTGGTTTCCAACCGAGACGGTTTAGAGGATGGGCGCTTTCGAGCTGTCGCAAGCCCCTGCGGATATTGTTGATCATGCGTCGGCCATTTGCGATGTTCCCAGTGACTAGTACTCTATAATATCGAGAACAAAATGTATTTTTAGGGAAGAAGTATGAATGTTATGTTGTACCACAGCGTTGATACAGCCGTGTGCCACAGTAGCTCCTCATCCAATGCCGGAAAACACTGCCTGGCAAAGATGGAACACTAGCGACAAACCCCTGTGTGCACTTGGTTGGCCAGAGCCGTGACAATCCGTTGTCCGGACCTCGCAAGACGACAAGCCGCTGCAACTTGGCGGTACATGCCTCCAGCAATAATATAACGATGGAGTTTACCAACTACAAGAGGTGGTTATTCGTGCATGGCGTATGATCACTGAGGTGCCCTGATGGGTTTGACACGGAATGGCCACCCGAAGGCTCTTGCCGTTACTCTCCTTGCAGGCTTTGAAACTGAGGACGAGTTTAACTTGAGTCTGCTTTGTGAACCTTTGGGGTAATGGATTGCAAACATATCGAGGTGCTTTTTGTCTTCTTTTATGAGCTATTATCTTCGTTGGGCGGCATCTCTGGGGAATGGGCGGCTGATCGTCGTGTACGTTCCGATTCAGAAGCGGTGGCAGGTTTATCAGGGAGAGTTTTTGATCGACTGACACTGGGAAGACAATCTTTGGGTTTGTGTTGAAGCTTTCGCTTAAGCTTTTGAAATCGAGAAAAGAACTTATTTGCATATATTCCCATTGTGAACGCGCTCGTGGTGTGTTGAAGACTGGAGGATGGCAGTTCAAAGAGATCCTTACATTTAGTAAGGAATGATCGCATCTGGAGGGCATTTGGAGCAGGGTAGATTACCACAATTCTTGTCAATCGCTAACGGTGCCGTCGCCAAAGAAAAGGGCTGGTGGTATGCAAGAGCCAGGGATATTCATTTTAGGTAGCTCTCGTGATACAATGCGAGACTGGTTGCTTTCAACGTCAGTTGATATCAATACTTGGACTCGAACAACCTACATCACCATTCTCTAGATGATTTTCAGTCACGATAACGCCACGTTAAACTTCAAAGAACTCTACTTGATGTTTAGCATCCAATGCGTCAAATTACACTTGCAGGCTCCCATTAAGGGATGGTTTCTGCAATATTTGTTCCAAGGCCTCACCTGTCGCTCGGTTCCGCATATCACTGTTTTGGGTGAACATGTGAGATCGAGCATCAACAGTTGAGGTACGTATATAATGGTCTATTAAACACGGTCGAATATGAGAACCGGGAGGTCTTGGATGCAATCACAGCAGCCTCGGTATGGATTTTGCCGGTCTATAAAAGACTCTCGAGCACAACGTCTCATCCATTTCATTCCAAAGGCCACGATGGACCATCCCACTTCGCCTTACCCAATTGACCGGCCAGCCAAGAGACAGTGTTCGGTAGCCCAAAATGCAGAGGTGGAGCCCAATTTTGAAAACCACCCACAACAATCTTCAAACTGCGCAACCATCGATCCCAAGGTCGGTCATACTCTCTTCCGCAGGAAACGAACAAAATCACTAATCCTGCACAGATCCCAGCGAGCACATCCGGTGCCCTTACGGCGGAGTTTATGAAACTTCTACACGACAATGGCAATCTTGCTACACCAGCCCTCAAACTGCTTGACTTGTACTTTTCCCTCTGGGAATGCTACGTTGTCAAATCTGCCGAGAAAATACGACTTGAGGATGAGCAGCGACAGCTTCAAGAATTAGATGAGTGGTTAGCAAGCGACAGCGACATCCTTCTGCAGCTCTGCGATAAACAGGCCCTGGTATCGTGGGATCGAAAGCGAGCAGTTCAGGCCCTTTGTAACGGTGTGGTTTCAGCCTTGCAAGCGAGCGATACTCAAGCCTACCATGTTGATGGACCTTGCTGAGGTCTCAACATTATTGAGCGTTCATGGGTAAGAACGACATTTGGTCAGTTCCGCTATCGCGTTTTCTCCTAAACCAGCGCTGTTTTTAGATGAGGCCCATGAAACCGCCGGTGAAGTTTCGTTGGGTTTGGAGTGAGAAAATAGTCACAAAGACATGAGACAGACACATCGTACGGCCTATTTGTCGTCGTCTTCTCATTGTGACTAAACTCGCTTGCAAGCACCCTCGAAGCCGAAGGCAGCCTCCCGATCCTGTCGCATTCCCTCAAGAACACACACAATCCCACCACTGCGCAGCCGCTCCAGAACGACGTCCATGCCCTGCTTGCCCTTCAAGACAGCGTCCCGAGTTCGCTTGACACCGATCAATTCAACAGTCCGCTGGATGCCGACCGTGGACAAGGAAGACAAGATCCCTCTCTTCGGCTCTTCTTCCGCATCGGCACTATTCCTGCGGCTGAGAAATTCGCCTTGTCCGAGTCTAGAGCGGAAGGTCACATTGGTACAAACTATGGTCCGCTCGCTCTTTTGATCGATTGAGAGCCCACCTAGAGCAAGAGCATACTTGCTCGAGAGAAGACGCTGATAGTACTGTTTCTCAACGACGCTGAGAATACCAGTCCATTCCAAGTTGCGGGACTCGGTCTCCATCCAGCCCTCTACGGGGTCGACTACGGTGGTCTCCAGGATATAACTCTGAGCGGAGTTGTCGGGCCCACTCATTCCTCTCGGCAATAGCCTCAGAATCCCCGAGGGGATCTTGGACCTTTTCAGGTGGAGCCTAGTCGTGTGGAGGCGGTGTGTGTTCGGGTCGACGTATCGATCGATCACGTCGGTAGTCAAGACATGGCGGCAGTAGGGATTCGGATAACGAAGGAAATAGGCAAGAGTCACTGCAGGGAACGAATAATCGTAGGTGGATGTATTTTCGAAGATTTTCATCGTGTTGGTGTGGATGAATACATTATCAAGGGAAAGTGGGGGTGTGCCTATCGAATGCTGGGCGACTGTTTGCGACGAGAAGCTTCCTCGTCCCCATTGGAGACTGCTATGTGGCTCGGACAGCCACATGGTTTTCTGCCTATCACCTCGGCGAGATATCTAATGGTGACGTGATCGTATGTCTGCGGGGCTGATGACACATTGGCAGGTGCAATTACGATGAGAATTGATGGACATGAACAATGGCGATTCAAGTCATATTGCATAGGTGGTTTCTTGTTCATAATCAAAAAATTAGTTTCAAGCAAAAATTCGTCAGTTATGAGCTTAGGATGGCCAGTTGTCCCACAGTTGCGTACCCATCAGGCGATTGCAGCGAATCGCTCTCACCATTTTGCCGTCCATATACGAGCACAGCAGCGCACTACTAATTTTGATGCAAATATTTCGAACAATATCATAGTTTTCTTGTGTAATCAATTGAATCGTTTGAGTCGGCGAATCCTCTATTCTGAAAAGTATGTTAATATAGCTCGCCAAGATTGGCTCCTCTCCTTTGAGCCCGTTGGCAGAGAAGGCATGCGAAAGAGCCTTTCGAAAACGGCCATGATCAGCGCCATTAGCGCTAATGGATAGGTACTAGCGTCGCGCGGCCTGTGACAAAGGATCAGCTTGTAATACTGGAAGGATTAAAGCTATTTCGTACCTGATCTCGAGCTTTTTGTTTGAGTTGGTTGATTGCTGTCTGTTGAGATATGAGGCTGTTGCAGATCAAGAAGCTTCCAGTTCTTTCTGCGTGGAAGAAATACATGATGCAAGTAGATGCCTTCACTGTGTATATATATATAGCCTCATGTCTCCCTCTGAGAAAACAATCAATTAATACCTCTGAATTACAACACTGTCGTCGTGTGACGTTGCTTTCGCAGGATATGGTACTTTTTCCCTCTTAAAGACTCAACGCTTCGATCCACCCGATATTCTTCATAAAGTGCGTCGGAGCGGGCTTTCCACGGTAGCGCTCAATGGGCATCCAGCTAGGAGAGCAGATTTTCCTCCTCCCATTCTGGCCAGCCCGATGCGCTACGTGGGGACATGGTGATGCTCAGGCAAGTGGCAGAAGCGAAGGGACGGGTGGAATGGACAGCAGAAAGTAAACTCGCAGATATAGGTTTGTTGAGTTTATCCGCCTGGTCACTCTCGAACGTCCTTGGATGACAAACAACAACTTGAGCGGGCCTCTCGATGATTCCTTCAGGAAATTAGTGAACCTCAAAAGAGTTAAATGACCGCTTCAATGCTATCACCAATATCGATGCTCTGTCTAGTCTTCCACGACTAGGACAAATATTCTTTGGTCACTGGAGGCTGACAGTATCTGAGATCGGCCCGGGTGTACAACAACTGATGGAGAGGCAATCCTAGACTCATATGGTACTCGCGCCTGGTTGCGGACGGCTGCTTCATACCACTGCTGGCCTCTCGCGCAGAGGAATTCTTTGGCAATAGCACAGAGCTTATATTGCAAAGTTGACAAGTCGAACGGCTTTCTGGCGAGATTGTTCAGCTTCTGATAGCCTATCTTGGTGTCTTCAACTTTTATCGAATTTTTGCACGGTGCGCGCTTCCTCGTCATCCCGCAACAGGAGCCAGGGATTGGCTGACCTCTATTCGCAAACAACAAATTGGTTCCAAGGCAGCATAGTATATCTCGACTGACGGGTTGTTCTACTCCCGTGGGTCTATTCAAGCCCTGAATCAACGTTCACAGAAGTTCTATACTGTGTCGGGGCATGCCGTGATGGACCTATGCTCCCTGGTTGCATCCATATTTCACGCTTCGATTTTGGTTTCCTCTGTTTGTATCCGACAGACTTGAGCGCCTGATCGCACGAGGATACGACCCGGATGTTCCTCAGAGTTCACAGAAAGCGTTGTGGTTAAAACCGGTGATGCCGACTACTCGTTCGTGTTGAAATATGAGGCTGGTACAGCCAGGAACCAAGCCGCGTCATCGGAAGTAGCACCTTCATAGTCTACACAAGAACGAAGTAGATTAACAATCATTTTGAGTCCCAAATTGTATATCTGGTCCCTCGTAATCCCTCAGAAATAACAATTATTCATTGCTCTAGACTGCAATACGTAGGGCTGCTACGACGTCTGCGGGCGAGTCATGGGGACCTGGGCGTACTTAGCTCGATCTGGAGAGAGCTTCGGAAGAGTCCAACCAAATTCCAACTATATGATTGGCACAGCCAGGCTTCTTCAATTTCCTGGTCTGTCGAGCTGTTTTGTGCATCCATTTTTTCCACAGGAGAAAATCAAGATCAGGCAACAGCCCGCTGAAAAGTAAAACAACTCCAGTCAGAATTTGACTGCTTCAATTGACCGTAGTGGTGATTGTAAAACCCAGTCCATAGCCACCTTCGTGTGCAAAACATTATCAAAGGATAGTGATCAACAAGTCGGTCGGGTAAAATGATCAAGTCTCACAACGTTGAGGGCCAGATATGAACGCTCATTGAGATATATATTTCATTCGAACACCTCGTCCCCTTTCGTTGAAAGTCTCAGAAATTCGGCAAATGGAAAATTGTAGAACTTACAGTAGAAAAAAAAAATTTCAGAAGAGAAAACTAAAAAGATTTAAAAGTTCAGTGTATCTATGTTCATGATCACAAGTTCGAAAATTGAGTGTTGACAACTATGGCCAAGCTTCAACGGGTTGACCGACCGTGACCTCGCTTTCCGCAGTCGGGATGGACAGATCCACAGCTCAACACAACCAACACAGCACTAAAGCGAGGCTAGGAAAAAAGTTCATGATTTCTGGGGATGAAATTGAAGGCGCTTTTCGATGATTTGACCTTGAGTCGCTCACAGATGAGGTGATCAGAACACGAAATATGAGCTTGCCATTGCGGACGGAATATCTCCCACAAAGCCTCAATTTAAGAGGGCCGTGAAGGATTCGGCAGTGAGCCAACGTTTCTTGACCGACTCAGCACCCTGTTCTTCAACACGGCTCTTGCTCGTCTCCCTCGCTGAGCATCTGAAGGCATCGAAATGTCGCTGCAAATAGTCGCTGTAAAAATATGCCACGGGTTTCAACAGGCCTCAATTAGGATAGGTGTCCTTCAACGCTTGTTAACAAGCAGAGCACGTAACCTGACAGGATGAGACGATATGTCTATAAATATGTCCTCTACCCCCAGCAATTTGCTCTACAATTTATTCACTTGACTACGCAAAGTCGAGCAGGCTTGTGTCGGAGGCATTCGATAGGTTCTCCCCTTTGATCGAGTACTGAAATTTCCACTGTACTGACATTTAAAGAATACATCGTGGACCGGCAAGCCAGACAGTGCCGGTGAGAGATGTGTTCCCAGCAGATCCACTGTACCATTCACTCCAGCCGATCCAAGATACGAGTTTTGGGTTAGCTGGTCAAAGTGTGTATGCAAAGATGTCTCCGCTATAGCAGCCGACAGAGCGGATCTACTGTACAGCCTCTGTGTGTACATCCACGAGAAAGCGCGAATACCCGCGTCGCAGGTATGTGAATTTTAGCCTCACGTGTCTGATTTTCACTTATCCTGAAGACGATGTGATTCCAATAGAACCGAGGACATTCGACCACAATGCACGAGCGCAAGGGCCACAGCTCTTTGCCGTTTCTTCGGCCTTAGACTTGGCCACCAGAACATGTGAGTCAGGGATTATCTCGCCGATCTGCAAGCTAATAATTGACAGTGAACTACTGACATCGCACCAGAGTGGCCCGAGGATATAGCATCCCCATTAGTGCTCTACACAAAGCCATGGCTTACACACTATTCCTGGCCCTGTCGTTTCAAACCACGCAGCATACCCTAGGTGAAGATTATAAACCGGAGGAGCGGGCCAATAACAGGTGCGGATATCCGATTGTGAGCTTCGCTGCATAGAAGCCTGAGACATCCATTATTTTCACACCATGATGGTGGGGTGTTCGCCTTCCCCATCGCCAGGTCTTCTCCCATGACGACTGCACAATTTATTGTTACAGGTGGGTTCGTCGTGCGCCTCTGGCTTTCAGAACTTGCCCGGTGCACCCAACGCGGCTTCTTCGAAGCGGCAGCCGGAGGTTGCGACGAACTGGATACAAGATCATGTCAACACGCATGATTGGTGACTGCATAGCTGAAGAGAACTGTAAGTGATCTAGTTGGTATGCTGATATGATCAATATGCTAATTGATCGTTCCGTCTCAAGCGTACACTCTGCGGGCTCCATGAATGGGTAGGCGATAACAACTCTTCCAACTGGTTCAAGCCTTGCTGACTCCGATCGTACTACAGGACCCCCCTCATATTCCCATCACTCGAGTCGAATGCGAAGCGAGCAGATGTCTTGTTTGCTCGAGCTTCCCTATACCGATATCTTCGAATGCTCTGCCCCTTCCACTATAACTACTGGTGGCATCGACGATGAGTCACCGTACGGTTCTTATCGTCTACCTCGGCCCTTCTCTCTCAGTCGACTCTGTGTATCAGGTCACATGCTGATGTGTCTACCTGATACGAACCCCAAACTCCAACGGGCTCACACCACGGTGTGTCTCTCGGCATTCGAACACCGTGAAAGAATAGCCTCCTTGTGGATTAGATTCCTGGAGTCCAATGGATGATCCTCATTGTTCTCAATTGGCATCTGGCATCTTTTCAAGCCTGGCAATTAGCCAGACACCGGGATGGGCTGATGTTTCGTCTTGCTAGACGGCCGGTGAGCCGTACTTTCGCAGATGGCCAGGTTGTTAGTCCAAATCTGCGTGCAAGGAGAAGGTGGGGCAAAAGTCCCGTTATTTCAGGCCTACAGATTAACATTGGCTATATCAGCTACGAACCGAGAAAAGGAGACCGCCTAGTCCCGAGTCACAGCCGAGCCAACTAAAGAGCCAACGAGCAAAGAAATTCCGTCCGATACCGTTTCACCTGATCCTACTCAGCGTTGCTCAGCTGCTCGACGTATTCGAGCGGGTGGAAACGAACCAACCGGACATATGCGACGCTGCATCAAGGGCGCTGTCAGAAATGTTGTGGTATCTTTGGACAATGTTTGGTAGATTTGATGCCAGATTCAAACGCAAAACAAACTGGCCTTGGACCTAAAGGGTGGCCAGTTTGAATTCAAGGTGTATATCTATCCCGCACTCAAATTCTGGCCACCGGAAAGTCTGTCCAAGAGCTCATGTTCGACTCCGTCCATCGTCTTTGTCACCAGTACCCCACTCTTTTAACGCCTCTCCGTACACTAGAAGAGTATGTTCACGCTCGCGGAACTTCCAGTACTGCCTCCCCCCGACTCATATCTTGCGATCTTTGTGACCCACGTAAATCTCGGATCAAAATATACCTCTTATAGATGAACGTCTCGCTGGAAGCGATGGAGAACCTGTGGACAATGGGCGGCCGACGAAGTGGTGCGCCAACGCTCGCTGGATTGAAGATGATTCGTGAACTATGGGACCTGATCAACCTCCCCAAAGGTATGATCTCGTACCCGGAGTCCTATCTCAAGCTTGGCGAGGTTCCAAATGAGCAGCTTCCTCTGATTGCCAATTATACCCTTCACCACGATGACCCGATGCCGGAACCGCAGGTCTATTTTACGACTTTCGGCATGAACGATGGCCGGGTGGCGGATGGACTAGCCACATTTTTCAAGCGTCACGGCTATGACCATATGTTGCAGACATACAAGGATAGCCTGCGTGCATACTAGTGGGTTAAAAACAGTTGTTTTCAGTCAATCCATCTACCCAAATCCAGTCCTCATGTGGATCATGACAATGACAACTATCTCCACGCCTACATCTCTTTCTCTTTCCGGAAGGGAAGCCCGTACCTGAGTGTCTACCTCCAGTCCTTCGAGACTGGAGATTGGCCCATCTGTGTCAAGTTCCTACTCAAATTATCATGGCATTGTTCTCTAACACCTATTTCCTTCTCTTCTGATTCAGCGAGCTTCGGTGCCCCTGCCTTCAAGCCCGTCTCCAAGGACATGTGTCGTGGCCATCCTACCTCTTTCGAGGTACCTTTGACAAAGTATCAGGTAATGGCCAGTGAGTAAAAGAAACCGCTTTCCTGTCGGGCTTCAGGTACTGGACCGGAAGGGTAACCACAAAGTCCAATTTATCTATTTCCTCTGGAATTGCTCAGGATATGTTTCGAAATGCTCAGTCCAATTGATAATAAGCATAAATTTTGGGACTAAATGGTCTGATTGGTTCAATAGTTTGGTGGAATATACACTTGATCTCTTGATCTCCTGAAATTTGCTCATTCCCGGCTTGACGTGACAACTTGGCAACTGTGTCCTGTAATGCTAGCGGCAGGTCTGATACTTTTCCTAATTTCACCTCAAACCCGCCACAAGTTGAAGTTAACCGTTAAAGTGCTGTTATCCTGTCCAATCTCATGCTTCCATCTCACCATGCACGGGTCAACTGATAAGATATTTTCAATATGGGGATAGAAAACCTATTCTCCGCCAATAACTTCACTTGCAACTGCATAAGCACTCGTATTTCCTTTTGTCAGTTTTCAAAAATGGAAAATCATGCAAGGGATAAGTATCATATAGAAAAACCTATAAAAAAAAGGCATACCAGGGCAAACACCCCGTTCAGGGGAACAGAACGTGCCTTTCGCTTACCCGTTACTTCGGGCCCTAGCTTAGAGATGCTGTTACCGAGAGAAAATCATCAATTACAATATGTGTATGCGATAGAATTCGGTACTTTGCGTCTTTTTTTGCTCTTATGGTCAATTTGCGGTCGTACTTCTACCACACCGACACTTCTGGGATCCGGTTCACCGATCCAGCTACAATCGGACCTCGCGTTCTTGTGAAGGCATTTGGCGTCATGTTTCACAACAATCCACATCTGGAGGTGCATACCAAGCCATTTTTGAACCCACGGGGACGGTAAGGAACGGGACGTGACGACGATCACATGGAGCTGTAAGAAATAACCTAGGCATGCCTGGATGGGTCATAATGGTTTCGAGGATTGTAATTCCCTCTGCGACATCTTCTCAAGTCATGGCCCTCCGGCCTTACGCGTAACCGTTCATATTATTGAATGTCGTGGAATCATGGAGGATGGAAACGGTCTAGGATCCTGGGAAGATGGTGATATGACCAATCAGAAAATAGCCCAAACAATAGCTGGATTTATCAAGTGGTTACCGCTACAACTTCGTAAGCTATTGCAGAGGCAATACACCAACGAAATATACAAGGACAAACGTTTGAGTTTTATGGCGGTACTGGCCAAGGTAAGGATAAAGTGAACAAGTGATGCCCGGTGAAGGGTATAAATCTGCAAATGTCTGACAAGAGCTTAGGAAATGTTCCCGGAATACCCTGGCTTTGACCTCTTTAGAGAAGGGACGGATGGGAGTACGGTCATACAAGACGCCGTCAAGTTCGGATCAACCCGGTGTTTGAGTACGTACCGAATCGCCATTTTCAGAAGGGCAAGCTCATCCTTTTTCTTTTTCGACGCTACAGGTAATTCCACCAGACTCATGTCAGAGAATGTTGGTATTCTACTCGAAAAAGCCTGGGGCGATGAGCCGAGTAAGCGTCCCTGTGCTCCCTTTCTCCAGCCGGAAAAGTAGCCTCATGGGGCACGTGCCGAGTACTTAATGCTGGAACCAGCCCACTGACTACCCGCAGATTGGCACAATGTGGTCACAAAATCTTCCGTCCACGAAATCATCGGCCACATATCGGCCTTGCTATTCTACGGGCCGGAATTATCCAAGAATCAAGAATGGCTGGAAGTCACAGAAGAGTATACTTCGATTGGATTTGAAGCAGCCCGCGAGCTACGCCTTTGGCCCCATATTTTTAGACCCTTTATTCACTGGTTTCTGCCCTCTTGTCGTCGACTGCGGTATCTTGCCAGGAGAACACGGAGCTTGATCGAGCCGGGTATCGCCGCTCGAGAGCGAGAGAACTCCAGACGTGAGGCAGAGGGCCAGGAGCCACTCACATACGATGACGCGATCGAATGGACCAAAAAAGCTGCCAAGGGGCGTCAGTACGATGCGGCGATGAGCCCATTGCTTTTCTCGATCAATGCCCTCCACACAACCACCGACCTATTGACGCAGACCCTTCTGGACCTCAGCACTCGGCCCGAATTGATCCAGGCCCTGCGTGAGGAGGTTATCTCAGTTCAACCCCAGGAAAAAGGTTGGAAGAACTCAATCCTAGGGCAACTACGGCTGATGGATAGTGCCGTGAAAGAAAGCCAACGACTGAAACCCACTGAGTCGAGTATGTATGCTCCTACTTTTATCTTCGTGCTGCTTTCCCAAGTTGTACTTTGGCTATATGCTGATTTATTCAACGTTAAATTAGTCCTTATGAGAAGGTCCGCGATGCAAGACATTACCTTCGCGGATGGCACCCAAATTCCCAGAGGACAGTGCTCGGCATCCCCATCTTCAACATGCGAAACTCAGAAATATACCCCAACCCTGATACATACGATGGCCATCGATTCATGAAAATGCGGAAGGAGACTGGCTCTGATGGAGTAAGCCAGCTTGTTGCGACAAGTCCAATTCATTTGGGTTTTGGTCATGGAATCCATGCATGCCCAGGGCGGTTTCTTGCAGCAACCCAGGTTAAAATCATACTCTCCCATATGGTGATGAAATATGATTTCAAGCTGGGTGATGGCTCAGAGACGAAGTTTGATTCTTTTGGTATAGAGTTAATCTCAAATTCGGAAGCGACACTGGCAGTCAGGAGAAGGGAAGACGAGGTAAAATTCTAGAAAATCGTGATCAGCCTCGCTTAGTGCACGAGCACTTAGTTAAACATTGTTTTACTGTTAAGCTCTCTTTACCCGTTCGGAGTTCAGAACAGACGATTAGTTGACGCATGTCACTAGTCCTAACTGGGGTATTTAGTGTAATGAAATGCAGCCACGGTGGAGCTTTACTCTCAGTGAACCTGAGGTTGCGAACATTGGGCATTCCGAAGCAAATCTGAGTCACAAATTGACTGACCGCAGATTACCTTCAGTCCAAACCATACATGTTTACCAGGCACAAACAACACAAATATTAAACTATGATCTATTCTTTGAGGTGGAAATCTATCTCACGTTTATTGATCTTCTGTAAACGCAGGGAAGGTGCTGGGGGCCGACAGCACATCCCACGGAATGTTTCAGCCCTCATGGTTCCAACGGAACGGTAGCCCTTGACTTGGGTAGTAAGCGATGCAAGGTATGCGAGTCCTCTGAAAATGTGCTTGTTTGCAAAGCTGTGCCTTCAAGTGCCATAGCTCCCCCAGACGCCGAGCCCTAATATTGTATTCCATGTCACCTAAAGCTCGCATTCAAAGAGCACAGCAATGCAAGGATGGTATGACACTGCATGTCCTATGCATTTGTGTTACATGGCGATCTTTTAATTCCAGTAAAGCAGGAGAAAAATCAAAAAAGTTGAAATAAATAAATTTTCAAGCCTGCCAATCAAATGTGGGACGTGAATCTTCGAGGCCATAACTTCTCGGAAATATAACTGTTCTTATCATTACGAATTGTGCCCTCCCCGACTGATTACTTCTGTTGCCCTTTCGGATCCTGCGATTGAAGCCCAACAACAAGCGAGCAATCATGTTAACCTTTGAATTAGGGGCTGGGCGTCTAGGAGATAGTTGGAGAGGGAACATAGGGATTGTCTTGGTGGTGATTCTTGCGACAGCCATCATCAATAAGGCCGTCAAAAATTATTATCAAAAAGGCCTCTCGCGGTTTCCCGGGCCGCGACTAGCGGCAATGACAAGTCTGTATCAGACTTACATCGAGGCGATCCAGGATGAGTGCTTCATCCACAAACTCGAGCAGTTGCATATGGTACATGGTAAGGCTATTATTTCTTGCCTCACTGGAGTCATGAATAACATGTACCTTCATTTAGGAAACGTGGTTCGCACAGGCCCCAATGAGGTATGATTGGTTTCCCATAGGTAGAAAGCGTGGAAAAAGCTCAGGTTTCCTGATGATATCCTAGATACACTTCAGCGACCCCTCTACGTACCTGGAGATCTACAACATGAGCAGCCGCTGGGACAAGGATCCGAGACTCTACCACAACACTGGTGAGGTAGACTCATCGTTCGGTAGACTCGGTTATGAGGCTGCCAAGGAGAGGAGAGATGTCCTACAGAGGTTCTTCTCCAAGCAGGCTGTCATCAAATCACAGGGTCTAATTGATTCCAAGGCATGCATCAAAGCATCAACCACAATGAGCAAGCTGATTTCTGGTCACTCGAGATAGGTTGTGGAGCTGTGCGAATCATTCACGAGGTACCAAGGGGTTCCCGTAAACCTCCTTGGAGCCTTCAAATGTCTGTCGTTCGATGTCATTACTGGTCAGTAACTTTTCGGAACTTGCGCGGCAAATGTCTTCTTACGATGGTATGTGCAGGTCTATTCTTTGGGAAGTCGATTGGGGCGATAAGCTCCGATAACTTTGAGGAACCATTGCTACAAGCATTGGACGGAAGCCAGCGCGTTTTCTTGCTGATGAAGCACTTCCCCGTTTTAACTGTCATCCTCGAGAAGTGTCCGGGGTGGCTAAGCAGGCTCCTTGCTCCAGCAACCAACGTGCTACTTGATTTCCAGGAGGTACTTATTCCGTCCATTCTCCCACAAATACATCGGTTGCAAACGGTAGAGCGAAGAGGCTGACTAGAAACACATCTCAGGCCGTGATGACCCGAATCCAACAACTAACTACTCAGACAGAATCTCAGCCTCAATTACCACCCCACACCACAACCATACTGCAACACTTGCTAAGCCCTCAATCGTACCCTGACGGAGTTGTTCCCACGAGCGCTCAGATCTATGAAGAAACTCAAACGCAGATATTCGCTGGCACAGATACAACTGGAATCACCTTGATGTATGGGACCTTTTGCCTGTTACGCTCCCCAAAGTCCTATTACAAACTGAAGCAAGAGTTGCGCACATCATGGCCTGATCCAAGCGAAACCCCGACTTTTGTTGTTCTTGAGAAGATGCCATATCTGGTAGGTCTGTCTCTGGATACCCTAACTCGCACCGTTGGAATCAATATTTAACTAACTCTGATCGTTTGTGAAGAACGCAGTAATCAAGGAATCGCTCAGAATTGCTTCCGTGGCGACCGGCACCCTTCCACGAGTCGTGCCCCCTTCCGGTGCAAAAATCGCCGGACACTTTATCCCGGGAGGCGTACGTCACTCTTTGTTCTCAATGGCCCGATATCTCACTGACCAGGTGTCCAGACTGTGGTTGGCATGAGCAGTCATTTTGTCCACCATAATGAGGCCGCCTTTGAACAAGCAGACGAATTCATTCCAGAACGATGGCTGCAAGAAGGGAGCACAGATCTTCAGAAATTTTTGGTCCCTTTTTCGCGCGGCCCTCGGAGCTGCCCTGCTCAAAGGTATGGAACTGCAATACCCGTATGCAGTGATTATAATACACTAACTGTGGATTCGTAGTCTTGCATGGGCAGTGCTGCGAACAAGCTTCGCGCATGTCTACCGCAAGTTTGATCTTGAGCTAGATAAATCCAGGTATCCTTTTCTATCTCCACGATTTGCACTAGCTGAAGCTAACCGAATGCGCACTATTTTCTAGTCCCGAGAAACTCCAATGGAAGGACAGATTTGTGGCGGTATATCACGTACCGCCCGCGCGAGCTCATTTCCTTCCTGTGGCCGATTAAATCTAGGTACCATCCCCTGTTCGTTTGGACCGTAGCCAAAACTTTCAGCCAAGATAACATCAAAAATACTTGTTGGTTGACTGGTTGCAGTATCAGCTTATAAGCAGAAGTGTCCTCGTCTTCAGCGTTTTTCTGCAGCACTCAGCTACTACGCCTCAGACTGACTGGAAATGGAAGCCTCTTTGGCATAAACCCTGCTAATACTCGCTATCTATAAGATGGTTATGGATGATTACGTTGCCATACATCATAGAGGTCATCAGATCCCATATGAGCGATTTGTATGGCTAGGATACAAAAGCAAAACGGGGATAATTATCTGGCGTTCTGGTCGTAACTTGAGGGGATGTTTTGATTATTCTTGGGAAGTGACAAAGCTTATACCCTATAGAGCTTCTAATTAACTTGTTCCTTGTATATATAGCTTTGGATTATGTCCATCCAACCGGCTTCGTTCCCAAACTAGATGAGCCTCATATGACAACAGTCTCAGCTCCACGGGTAATTTCGAAAGCAAAGTGTGGTAAAAGCAAGTCACAGAAGCCTGGATGGAAGGAATGCTAGCACATGGCATTTAGTGCGCTATTCAATATGTATGGGTAGACGTTTTAACTTAGAGGTGAGTGATAACAGCAGAGTGACCGGAAATGTGGGCTTGAAGGCAATGATACCTTGCATTGTTTTGAGTGGGCGACCAATTGCGCCCCAAAATGTAACTTACTTCCCTTAAGTCGTGCCGGTAAGGCCCTGGGTCACTGGATCGTCAAAGTTGAGATGCAAGAGGAGACATGTTGCATCGCATGGTGGCTGGGCTTACGTACCCGCGCAGCAGTGAGAATTACTACCTTGGTTGTCTTGATCATATGTACGGAGTGCAGAAGTGGGGGTTCGTGCAGTATGGTTGCTCATCAGCCTGGTGTAAGCGACAGTGTGCTCCAGGGCTACGTAGCAATAGTTCGATCTACCACCCTACTTGCTAGCAACCTTCCAGGCAGTGAACGTAAAATCCAGTTCCATATAGCTTGATAGCCTGTACAGCTAGCGTACATTGTTCTGAACACCAACCCCTCTACAATGGATGAATTCCGCTCTCTAGCCAGCTCCCTGGCTCAAAACACGAACATCCTAGCCGACGAGCTAGAGAAGACGGACCATGACACCTCCTTCAACAGCACCAGTGGTCCGATTGACCTGCCCCTGCTCAGTAGCCAAGGGTCTGCCGCCCGATCGGAGATCATCTCAGCCGCCGAGAAAATCCTCCGGGTAGCCTACGGCCCACTGAGCTACCTTTACCGATTCGGGGATGTCGCCATCGAGATTGGAGTGCTGCGGACCGTTATCAAACTCGGACTACCGGCCATGATCCCTCTCCAAGGTTCCGTGTCATACGCCGAGCTCGCAGCACAGACGAAGGTCTCAACGTCGGTGCTCCAACGATTGGTACGATTCGCGATTACGTCGGGAATTTTCACCGAGACAGACAACGGTGAGAATGTAAAGCACAATGCGATGTCATCGATCTTCCTTAAAGACCCACCCAGTGCAGATGGGATGGCCTGGGTTCTGGATATGTGCTTCCGGTCCTCGACCAAGATCTATGAAGCCACGCGACTCGATGGGACGGGCCAGGACCCGAAAAAGGTCGCCACGAGTATCGAGTACCGCGATGGTGAAGACGAGCTGTCATCCCTGTGGGACGTGCATGCGATGAACCCCGACTTGGACCGAGGTTTCAACAACGTGATGCTCTCCCAATCGGTGTCGCCGAGCTACTCCGTACAACACGTCATCAGTGGCTTTGACTGGACCCAAGTGAAGAGTGTAGTTGACGTACGTGATTGAAAACTCCACTCGTCGTAATGGTACAATTGCTAACCTGAAGCTGGCAAAGGTTGGTGGTGGCGTGGGCCATATCGCTGAGGAAATCGTGAAGAATTTCCCCCACATTCATTGCACCGTGCAGGACATCGAGAAGACCATTCAACAAGCTCATCCCACGGAAAAGAATGTCAAGTTCATGGTGCACGACTTCTTCCAGCCCCAGACGGTTCAGGCTGATCTGTATCTGTACCGGTTCATCCTTCACGATTGGTCCGATGCGGAAGCGAAGCAAATCCTGCAAGCTTCGCTCTCGGGTCTGAAAGATGGAGCTCGGCTGGCGATTATGGACATCGCCGTCCCCGAGCCCGGGGTAGAGTCATTGTTTGTCGAGAAGTCCGTTCGAGCGCTCGACATCACCCTTTATACGATGCTGGCTGGGAAGGAGCGCACCCTAACGGAAATGAAGGACTTGATGGCTGCCGTATCTCCTCATCTGGAGTTTAAACACCGCTGTCAGCCTAGTGGAAGTTTGTTGAGCTTCATGACCTGGGTGTATAGGGCGCCTCTGCCGAATTAGGCGTTTTAGACATTCCCTCGAATTCGGGTGCGGCGATTATGGTTATTTCGAGACAGCCACGTCCCCGGCAACCCGAAGCTGAATTATAAATGTATAAAGCTAAGACTATGTACCGGTTCAGCCAAAGGGCGATTTTGTTTTCTTACTCTTGTGTACTACGCTGAATCAGAGGGTCCTTACAAGCAATTCTTAGAGAAGTTTTATTGGTGACCCCACGCCCCCCAGAGGAGTAATATGCGCGTAGCGTAGCCGTAACGGGTCACATTTTGCTGCGGTCTTATACAGAAACGCATTGGACGTGAGCCTGTCTGAAACTGGTGATTGAGCTTGTATAGGACTGGCCTGTTCCTCGTGAAATACACCCTAACTGCGTTTGAGTCCGTATTCCGAGCAGCTGAATTTGGTCGTCGATAATTTCCTATATCGTGCGCATGTTGAGCTGTACCCTTCCGAAAAGTGTGGTCCGAGTATCCGCCTGTAAACTAAGTGTTCTAGGCAAGGCCTAGGATGTCGTGTCGGGCGATCTTCAGCGCCCGGTTGCCTGTTCAAGTATGCCAATCCGGTTACGGCAGACACCAACCGCATGAAATATTACGGTGCGGTGAGGCGGTGGGCCATCGAAAAGGAGGTCCAAAATTCCAGGTCACTGTGAATGGTCGTGACTCGAAGAGTAGAACTACCACACCATCTTGCCGTAGCATAGGACCTAACTGCGGTGGTTTAAGAAAATGACGGCAAACATCCCAGCCTAATGAACCCTTTTGGAATGTGATTAACACACAGCGTTTCATGCATTCCCATTCTGTCCGCATACGCTTCTGCATTTCAACTACTGGCAGCAAATTTTGTAGTTTCCCTTCTGAAACACATGTGTTTACTTGGTTAATTTTCTCTGGTTCTGTAGGTTCCTGTGCGTGCTCCTTTCATGGAGCAGACGTATAGATGCTTCATGACAGACCTCTTAGAATCATGATCTTTATTTGAGAATTTATTCTTCTTCTCTGAGTCTTTACTACAGCGTAGTTTGTTAGAATGTGCGAATGGAAATGCAAAGTCTCGAGTAGCGAGGCATTATCCAGTATGTAAGGAGAGTGTAGAGACCTTTTTCAACTATTTTAAACGCAGACCTAGCTGAGATTGCAGCTTTCGTGAAGTAGATGATATGTATCCTCGGCCGAGCGAAATAGAAATCTACTGGTTGTAAGAGTATGACCCGAATTGTACCCAGTAGAGGTATGTGTTTCTACTACGGAGGGTATAAACTCGTATTCCCATGCCGGTCGTTCGACTATAGCACGAATGACCGCGTACTTCCTGTGGAATGAATGCATCTTCTCTACATTTCGATGGATTCACAAGTACATTGGCGGTGAGCACAATTGAGTTTGAGATACCCTTTGCAAATATTTCGGCATATTTTAGACTCTGTAAGGGATTCGTAGCTTTATTCGCTTTTAATATTCGCCTTTAATATTCGCTTTTAATATGTGGAAGACACTCTCCTTGCAAAACGGCTTGTTATTACAAACACCGCAGCAGCTTCTGGAGCCCCATTAAAAAAAAGATAATTTACCTATTCTCACTTGGAGATGAAGCAACAACCAGTTTTCAAATCCTTCCGTTTGAGTCCCGTGGACCATACCCTGCCCAAAGTCTACATTTTCAAGACCTTGTATTTCCGCCCAGTGGATAACATAAACAGTCTTGCGCGCCTCCGAGATGGTATAGACCGTCTGGTATCATGTCTGGCTTTTCTCTCTGGAGAAGTTGCACCATGTGCGGATCTCCCCGATAAAATTGGGGTCCTTCAAGTGCAGATGCCTGGTCTCTCTCTCCAAGACATTCCCATGCTCTTGGTCAAGTCCTTTCCCAACAATTCATGGACAGGGGGATCGAACAATTATCCTTCACTTGAGCAATCATATCATCCGCTCCCGGGTTTCATTCCACCATCGAAGCCCAGACCTGTGCTACGCTTCCAGGCCAATCTCCTGGCTGAGGGACTCGTGCTATGCATGGGTTACAACCATTCTGTTTTTGATGGCACAGGCGCCGGTTATATCCTTGAAATGCTAGCCGATTGCTGCCGTGCCGAGCCTGCTTGCATGGTTTCTCTTCCCACCACTAGTGAGGTCGAGTCAAAACTACGCGTGATGCTGTCCGATGCTGCAGTAGCACTTGCGGATCATTCTCAGGCAGAAATTCCCAGTCACTGCGTGCACACGGATATAGAACCCGAACCCTTCCAGGCTATGCTCTGCAATCAGTCGTTCCTACTGTCTTCCGAGAGAATCGATTGTATGAGAGACGCATGCAACGGCCTTTTACCACATCTTGTACAAACATACAGATGCCTTCATGAGTTAGTTGTCCATCCGGACGCGAACTGGCCAAAATTCCTCTCTAGCAATGATGTCCTGACCGCGTTGCTCGCGGTAAGTGTCGAGAAAGCCAGGACAGCAGCAGGAGCCCAGGGGCAAAGGAGCAATAGCCTTGCAATGGCGGTGGATTTTCGAGGACGATTGAAGGGCATGCCGGCGCATTACCTTGGACACCTGGTGACCACTGTATGGGCATCTCATAATCGACCAAGTGAAAATAACCCGGATACGATGGCTCCAACAGCTCCAACATTTAATCTACCAGACATCGACCAGGATGATCTCCTTTGGATCGCCCATGTTGCTTTCCGTGTCCGGCTTGGGCTGAATGCTATCAGTGACGAGTATATACGTGGATTGGTCCACTACCAGTACAGTCAGGGTGATTGGGGCCAAATTGGTATTCACTTTACCGACCCTATTTTCATCAGCAGCTGGCGGCATCTGAAAGTTTATGAGCTGGACTTTGGTCTAAATATTGGGCAGATCGAGAACTTTGAAATGGACGTCGGCAGCTCGGATGGCGTATGTATTGTTATGCCAGCTCATCATAAAAGAGCTAGCGGAAAGACCAAAAAGGCTCCATGGGACATTCGTTTTATTTGAATCCGGAGGTCATGGAAGCCTTGATCAATGACTCACTCCTTGTTTGGGCTGTGGTGAAGGGTGTTTCCAGTCGTTGATTATTAGTGGAATGTGTGTAGGAGGCTGAACTCCATGAAAGGACGGACGAGTTGCACCTCGACTCCTCTTTCTTCATTCTTTCGTTCTGACTGGCGTGGCAAGATAACTATGACCAGTGGCATAAGTGTATAATTCCACTACAGTATCTTCGCCTTCTGCAGATTATACCTTTCTCAAATAAAGGGGAAATGGTTACTATGTCAGCTCGCAGTATTATCGCGCCTACTCTGTATCCTAGAGAATTGCCATTTTGGATATTCCAAGTTCGGCTATACACAGGAGCAGCACATCCCATGTACATTTAAATAGTTACTGTATGATTCCCTCAAGGATGATAGGCCTTTCCCACCCTTTTGTCCACAGACGGCAGGTTAGGTGTTGTTTTTAGTTCTCATTACATCAAAGAATCCCTACGTTGTCCCACACTCAAATCTTCCAGTTAGTGGTAGTTTGTACGATCGGAATATCTCGGAAGTAGATTGCTTAGTATCGTGTAGAATTCATGCAAACATCATCAATTCAGTCAGTGGGCAAGACTTATAGTACATCTTTGCTCCGACGCACGCCCTCTTCAAGCGCCAGATTCCAACACCACTCACTCGCCTTGTTGGTCCTCTCTTGTCCTATAATTCCAACACATTGATCGACAAACTTAGCCGTCAACTGCTCGTCTGTCATGGGCCTCTCCAAGCTGCCCACCGCATGATCAACATGTCTTTCGACATAGTCTCTCCCGGGCACCTTCACAACGATATGACACTCATCAGCCCGCAAGCTCTCATCAGCGACAGCCGTAATCCGATCTCTCAACCGCACAACCCTCTCGTCAACAACAACAAGATATAAAAGGAGCCGGATTCCCAGCCCAAAAAAATCAGGACTTCGGTCCTCACACTTTGATGCATCATAGTGTCCCTCTCCTGCCTGCGGGCTTGAGAGCTTCCGTGGCCAGGCTATCGCTGCCACGAGCCCCGCGAGTGTAAAAGTGTGCTTCGCAGGATAGGTCTGCGTGAACAACAATCCTCACAGGGGGGTGCTGCGACAACAAGGCCCTTAACGACGTGCAGGCACCTCTTCGTGGTGTTAGGGACCAGTATTCGAGTATTCCAAGAGTATTCGATGAAGCAAAGACCTGCGCAACATCTTCATCATCTGTTTCGTATACCGAAGAAGCATCATTGGATAGATAGAATCAATATAGATCATCCCAAATTCAATCACCAAATCGTAAGATGCAAACTGGGCTTTCGTCGTTAGCAACCCGTATTCCTACTCCTTCTGCCTTTTTCGCGGTCCGATGATCCCTTCGCTGCAATGAAAAATGGCATCTTTCATTCAGGTGCAGAGTAAACACAGATGTTGTGCGGGGATGCTTGTTTTGATAGAAAGTTTGTTGTGATGAGCCGTGTGTGTTGATGTGTGTTGATGTGTGTTGGTGTTGATGTGGTGAAATGTGTAGGGTGAATGGTCGGGCGGTGAAGGGAGCCATGGTCAACGTGTCGCGATGGCAGCGCGGTTTCTTGCCATGTCTCTCCCATGATAGATGCATCGATTGCATTGGTTCGATTCCGCAAATCGTTTTTGACCCCTTACAGTCATTTGGTGACATTGGCGTACAGCCTCCAACTCGATTGAGATGATCGAATTCAAACTATGATCACGTAATATACTGTACGCTCAAGATCAGAACTACGAGGTGTAGAGCCATGTGATGAGGTCTCGCACGAAAACGCGAATCGTGGGTAAAACATCATGATGCGATAGACTCTGTTCCTTGTGTAGTCAGAACCATTTCTCCAGATGGCTATTGCGATCACTCGAACCTACTCTACAATAGAATACCTACATTTTAGAGCGATTGCGAGAATGAAAGTAGCTTTGCCTCGAGAACAACCATGTCATTGAGAGCTTTGGCTTGAGAACATCTGATCAGCCCCTTCTACATATGGGAGCCGTCGCAATATTGTGAGTAATCCCCCCGTCAGTAACTACGACTCATATTCCACCCAATCTTTCGTAGAAGTCCACTACAGCGATTAAAGCGACGGTCATTACTTTCTGTGGGGCGTATTCCCGAGTTCATGCGATACATCATGATCTGCTGCTGATAAAACACGGTTGAAGCCCGACCGGGGTCCAACATAAGCCATCTGAAACCAGACCTGGTAAAAATATCTCTCCATGATCGCCGCCCAGGATTGGGTGATATCCGCACTGGGGAGCTCTAATCCACGTGTGGTCGTAGCAGGCATGCGCTTAAGCCATCCTCCCCAAAGCAAACATGACATGAGCACCGATTAGGGGTAGAAAATTTGGACGTGATAATCCAAGAGGTCCCACAACCCGATGGCTCTTGCGGTGTTGTTACAGGCATCAAACCACCTTCTGTGAATTGCTCGACTAGCGATGTGCCAGAAAGAAACCGAAGCGCGACGAAAAATACATCATTGATGCTCAAAGAATAGTGGGCTCGGAGGACGTAGAAACTTTGGTGATTTGCTGGCAAGACCTGCTTGCGCCGCCAATTGCGATATGCTAGACAACGGTCCCAATGGACAAAGGATACACGATAGTTTGACTCACCTGGAGCTGCAGTGACCTTCAACGTATATGCTTTGGACATAGTGCTTGGGCTTGTACAGAAAAAAGCAGGCTTAGGAATCAAATCCACCAGCCTTCGGTCCAACAGGGAGAAGAACAACACTTCTGGTAGCATGCACCTCCGTGTATGTCCGAATAATTCGTTCCCGCTCGCTCGTACATGTCAATAAGCTGAGCAACGCGGAGAGGGAGAGGATCAGGTGGGACTGTATCAGACGGTGGTTCTTGGGTCATGGGCCCTCTCTTTCGCTTGGTCGTCCTCGGTCTTGTCCATCGATTCGAAGCTGAGATGGGTATTGTTAGTTTATTCGGCTAGAAATGACGGGACTTTCGCCTCACCTTCTCCTTGCAAGCAGACTTGGACTAACAACCTTCCCGTCTGCGAAGGTATGGCTCGTCCGCTATGAAGCAGACAGAAATACCACAAATTCTCGGCGTCTTTTAAAGTTCCAAGCTCGAAAGGCAGTAGACGCCATCCAAGGACAATGGTGTTCAGCCGTTAAGATACCCGGAATCCAAGCCATGAGAAGGCTATCCTATGAGGATGTTCGAATGCCGAGAGGCGGACAGTGGTATGCGTTCATTGAAGTTTGGGTCTTGCGTCAGGTAGGCATACCAACGCATGATCTGATGCACCAATTCGACTGGGAGAAAAGGTCGAGGTAGCGACTCATCGATGCCATCAGTAGTCATGTGGAAGCTATAGACAGCATGCGGTCGCAGTGGTATAGGGCAGCTCGAGCAGACAAGAAATTTTCTGGCTTCCCGTACGACTCGAGTGATGGGAATATGAGGGAACCTCCTGTTGTGGGATCCGAGTCAGCAAGGATTAATCCAGTTGGATGAGGTATTGTACTTTACGTTGTTCATGAAGAATTCCCCGAGTGTACGCTTGAGACAGATGACCAATTAGGATCATGATCATACCAGCTTACCGACTAGATCACTTCCAATTCTCTTCGGCAATGCAGTCACTATTCATGCCATGTTGTATTTAGACCTTGCCACAGCCCACCCATGGGCAGGCCCCGGTTAGTGCCGACCCGCCCATGGGCGGCACCAATGGGCCCAGGGCCGCCCACAGATAGCCCATCAGATTATGTAAGCTTCCTAAATAGGGGGTTCAACTTCTGGAAACTTATTCGGTTATTTACGTCTGTCACTGTCACCTACCTCCAATAACCGCTAATAGTATAGGTAGTTTATTAGGATAAAGGTGTATCCTATTATTTATCATATTGAATATGTAGTATTCATAGTAGATTTATTAATTCGACCGGTAGAGAGTATATTGCGAGTGAATTTGTAGGTTTAGGATGTTTTGTAGTCAAATATATATTTAACTCACTGCGGTCGCATCACTATTTCTAAGTATCTTGGATCATAATTTCAATTCCATCCAAACTCAACAGTTTACTATTTATATTAAGTTTTATTCTAACTGAATCCATTTATTATATATCCCTCTGCTCAAATAATATAAATACGTAGTATTATAGGATATTTACGTAGCTAACACATTGTGAAATTATGAAAATTTCATGAGAATGAAGTTCTTATTAGTAAGCGGCCCATGCATGGGCCGACAGTCAAACGGCCCGCCCGCCCATGGGAAAGCCCATGGGCCGTGGCGAGGTCTACTCATCACGTTCAACCAAAAGGGAAAGAACTGTTAATATTCTTTCATTACAACAATTTTTGGACGGCCACTGTGAGCCCATGGCTTCAATAAATTGACTTTCCATCACGTTTGAGGATATATTGGTTTTCAAGGTGTTCAGAAAATGCTGTTACAATTGGACAGGTCAATTACATCCTTTTTCATAGCTGTCATTTTGATTTTACCTATGGGAAATATTAGTTGTATGGAGAATGGAAGCTATCTCAGAGCCATCGTTACAGTGCGTTGGTTGAAAACCAGCTGGGAGCGTCTCCAGAGTACCAAGCACCGGATAGCATGATGGACACATCGTATGGGTCAATTCTCAAGCTGGTGCGTTAACAATTTTGTTCCTTGGGGGTATTGCGAGCTGGGCGCCTAGCTGCCAAGGTTCATGGCAGTTTACAGAAAAATGGGGCAGATTTATACAAAGACCGACCCGACCGACTTACCAAACGGTCCAACGTTTTTGAAGGAGAAATGATATTTCGAATAATCTTGAGAATGGATGAGGCTAAACATGAGGTTGCTTCCTCAGCGGCGACACGGGACCGGGTTGTCCGGCCCTAAGATTGGGTGTGTGTGGGAGATACAAATTCACTCAGAGGATGTTGTCCCATCGCCCTTGCGTACCGACCAAGCGCCATCAACGGAAAGTAGTGAGGGTAAAGTGAGTATCTGATATAGAAATGGTTCGGGAACCCAGTCCCGGTAAAATATTCCTCATGCCATGTCGCCCCTTGAAGGCCGGCCTTCGTCTGTGTTCGCAACAGATACTCTACCCCCTTGCTGACCACTCTTGTCGACGGTGGTAAGTAGGGGATCAGGCCCATAAGGGCCCAAGCTGTTTGTGATGCCGTTGATGGACCGGAGCCAGCTCGCAGAGGATCCTTATAGGAGTGCAGTGTCTCTCCCCAGCCGCCGTCCTGGTTTTGTGTCGTCTCCAACCATTGTATTGCATTATAAACACCATCATGGATGCTATCATCCTTCTCCGTCCATATGTTGTCCACCCTGGTGCCAACAAAATACGCCAGTGCGCAGAGGGCAGCACTAGTTCCGTATATATAGTTGCAACCCCAGCGCCCGTACCAAGCACCTGAGGGTTCTTGCATGCCAGACAGGTAATCAATCGCTTTTTGCGAAGCGGACGTAAGACGATCGACAAGCTCATTCTCAACAATCCACGTTTTGTGCTGCCTGCTGACTGAGAGGAACAGGCCGAAGGTCTCAAGGACATGACCACTGACGTCTGCAGTGGACGGGTCACACAAGGTGTCCATATCACTGAAAGGGATCTTATTGAGAAACAGATTATTGTTGTCTCGATCGAAAGCGCCCCAGCCGCCGTCTTTATTTTGCATACCCAGAAGCCATTTCAGCGCATCCAAAACACAGGACGAATGCACCGAATCAGAGTCTTGTCTGATCATCGACACAACAGCTGCCGCCGTGTCATCCATGTCGGGATACCATGTGTTGAAGTACCCAAAACTAAAGCCACCCGGTTCCAGTTTGGGGTTGTATACCATCCAGTCACCGTGTTTAGTGCGGATCTGTCGGCCTCGGACCCACGCCATAGATTTTGTCAGCAACGGGTTTTTTGCTGTCATTCCTGCATCACTGAGGCCAACAATCATCAAGCTGGTGTCCCAAAAAGCGGAAACTGTAGTTTGAATTCTCTTCCCGCGCTTGTCACACCACGCAAAGCGTTCAATGGCTTTCAGTCCTCGTTGGATAGGATCCGAATCAAGTCGGTACCCTTCCAAGGTCAGAGCAAACATAGCTCCATGCAGTGGCGGCATGATATCGCCGAAATCGCCCGCCTCCTCTTGGTGTCCAAGGATCCACTCGACGCACCTCCGGATGGCATACCGACGGACGGGATTGAACGATCTCAGGCCATTCAAGCGATGTAAAATTGAATCAATGAAGGTGAACGCAAAGGCGACGTTTTCCAACCCCCATGATTCCAACAGACCATCAGCGTAGGGAGCCATCTTATCCGTGGGGTTGCACCAGAGTTCATCCAGGTACGTGTTGGGCTCAGACTTTCCATTTGGAAGGGGGTAGATTGGACGATGGTGAGAGATAACCAGGAGCGGAACAACAGTAGCCCGCGCCCATGCCGACCATTGGTAGATACAAATAGGGAACATGGATGGCACGAGGATTAGCTCGGGGGGCAACTCTGGGACGGCGGTCCAGGGAAAGAGGCCGAACATGGCGAGGTATATCCGAGTGAAAATGCGGATCTTGGCCATACCACCAGACGCAATGACGAAGTTGCGAGCTTTCTGCAATGCGGCGCTCACCTCGGAGACACCCAGGACTTTCAAAGCAAGGTAAGCCTCTACTGTTACTGAAATATCCCCTGGGTAATATGTGGCAATGCTCCAAGAACCGTCTGACCTTTGCTCGGAAAGTAGCCAGGAGATGATTGCTTCTCGATCTCGCTTAAGGTCTAGACCTAGAGCCTGGTATAGGAAGACGTACTCCGCGGTTGTCGTTGCGTTTGTTTTAACTTCACCACACCAGTGCCCATCCGACTTCATCTGCTCCCTGCTGTGCTGGGCAGAAAGTAAGAGTGACTGCTTAACTCTGGACAACAATGCATCATCTTCGGAACACCCAACAAGCGTTGTACTTTGCGTCGTGATCTCATTGGTCTCCGACATTGTGTCAACAAAGAACGATTGATGGACGATAAAAAGTAGCAAAAGTTTTGATACCACGATCTATTGAACAAATAAACTATCATTTTATCAATTTAATAGCGACACTCCCTTGAAATATAACTACGCTTTTGAAGTCAGTGATGACGCTGGAAATTTCTTGGCTTTGCTCAACCATTGATTTTACTGTTGCCGTTCCAGCAAATCTTCCATAGCAAATTATATGCTGAACCTGGGCTATTTTCAAAGCTGATGAGCTACCTATGAGCTGAAAAAAGCATGTTACCTAGGCCTAGGTTGCAGCTGATACGTGCAGGTGAATGTAACGTCGCGGAATGGCATCTAAGCCCTTGATTAAATGTTATAGTGTATCAGAACCAGGGTACAGAGACCCCAGCATAGGTGAGTAGATGAAGTAAATGCTGGAACTATTTCTATGATGCGCTTGCACACCTCTATTCGTTAATTTTGAATTTAAAGTGATGATCCGTTCAACTTTTATGTTCCCATGGTTTCGTAACGACGCGGTGTCCTAAGTGACCATGATTTGTACGCTTTGTTTTGAATATTGGGCCGGGAACTGCGGCAGGGATGTAACCAGCTCCCCAAATTAGGCGAAATATCGCCGTTTCTGGATTTCACGGAGCAAGGTGCTGGGTCTCTTGATGTCCTACCCGAAAATTCATGGCGCAATAACTTAAAGGCACCCTTCACCCGTGGGTTCGTATAAACAAGCTCTGGAATTGGGCCTCGGTCACTGGCCCCTGTGTCCTGTGTCTCATTTCCGTTAATGTTAATGAACATCAAGTTAGCTTACGTTACACTGTCTTCTATGAAAGAATCCGCCCGGCCGGAGAATGCGGGTCGACGAATTTTTTTTTAATAATAAACGGTTCATTGTGAAATTTGCATCGACTCTTAAAACAATCTTCCAAACCCGGTGAATCCTCAAAAGAAAGAGTCTTCTAGCCTTTGAGAGGCCAAACCTGTTATAGTTTGATTATAGTTTTGCCATCAGTCGAGCTTTTGAAGTTCAATAAATGACTAGATCCATTGATCAATATGGAAATTGAAAGAATCCTAACCTAGTAATTGTCGGCTTTTCTCAAATACAGTGTTTCCCCCCGCCACGGTGGGCAGGCGGTGGATACTGTCTGTATTTGTGTAAACGTGGCAGCTCCGTGAATGAGTTCTGTTAGTTTCGGCGCAACGATCGAGTTGGCACCATTGGGTGAAGGGGCTACAGAGATACTCTTCATTGAAGTAACCCTCATTAGTGGTTCTTCCTCCAGCCCCTTCATGAGTTTGTGGCTCTGGCGCAGCCACCCGTATCGGCGATCCACTGCATCGCCTTATCTGGGAGTATGTACGATAAACTGACAAGTTACAGTGCTTTGTCTGTACCGTCCAAAGTGTAAGGATCATCCTCATGCAATTACCACTTTGACGTAGATTGGCATCTTCCCAGAAGTATTGATATATATAATACATACAATGCAGCAGCACAGTCTTTTCCCTACACCCAAGCATCAAGATGTCCCAGCCGAAGGCTCCTCAAGCGACTGTCATGGACCTTGAGCATCCTTGGCCCCTCACCATTCTCAGCATCGGAATGTGTGTAGGCTGGTTGGCCAACTACATTGCAATGATCCATAAATCCTTTCAAGACCGTACCTATGGAATGGCGTTGATGCCGCTCTGCTGCAATATCGCTTGTGAGTTTGTTTATGGCGTTATTTATCCGCCTGACATACCGATTTGGCCATACATTTTTGCGAGCTGGTTGACTCTCAATTTCATTGTTGTATACGCCGCCATGAAATTTGCCCCGAACGAATGGGCACATGCGCCATTGGTAAGGCGGAACCTCCCTTGGATATTCGCGGTCAGTATTGCCGGTTGGATGTCTGCGCATTTGGCCTTGGCCGCCCACGTTGGACAGAGCTCCGCCGCGGCTTGGAGTTCCTGGTTTTGCCAACTGCTGCTTAGTGCCGGTGGGCTATGCCAACTTGTTGTTAGGGGAAGTACTCGAGGCACGTCCTTCTTCATATGGTAAGTGACCTCAGTCGCGCAACTAGTATTATATGAGCTGACTGGTTTCTTCGTGGCTGTAGGATTAGTCGTTTCGTGGGGACTGTTCTTGCGCTACCTTATGAGATATTGCGGTACCAATACGGATATTCAAATGTTGTATGGCACAGTCCCCTGGGCTGGTGGGGTGGTGTGACCTTTCTTTTTTTAGATGGCTCATACGGAGCCTGCCTATGGTACATCCGCCGGTCCGAGCGGAAAGCCGCCTATGATCGCCAACAAAGGAAGCAGAAATAAAGCTAGAGCCGGGAGTCGTACGTTCAAATAGTGAGCGAACTTTGGTTGTGGCTTTGCAGCAAATATTGATGAGTCGACGCCATAATCCAGATAGCTCTGCAGTACGGCATACAGAAATTCAATCAGGAGGATGCTTTGGGCCTCAAGAACAAGATGAGCACTCGAATATTGTCTATTTACTCCATGGCCTATATGAGCTGATCTTTGAGGTGTCTACAAACTCGGAGGTTTTGGAAACTGCACTAGTGTGCCATAGACAAAATTCGTTAGCGATTCATTTTGTTGAAACGACTTGCAGGGTTATAGCTTCCACTCCTTGGTTGTTCCTGTCTGTAGATATTAGCGGGGGCCTCTAATACCTTATTCCGCTCCAGCAAAGAGATGACGGCCACACTGAATATACGGTAGCCGCATGTAGCTGCCTGGCACGATCTACAATTTCGGATGAGTTTACCGTGGCTCAAGACTCGCGCGCCGAAAACGGCACCGAATCGAGCATATAGACCTGATTTCACATGCGAAACCAGTTCCAACTTTGTCACCCATGGATCTGAATGTGACTTATTGCGCAGGGTAGGATCTGCGGTGGGTGTAGTGGGGGGCAATATTGTCGGCACCGTGTTGCAGCCAACTCAACTGAAGCCACAATTAAAGCCGTAGCTTGCTAAGCAATGGCTTTCACAAAATATGTTTTATTTCATTTATTTATTCAACAACCTTGCAAATAACCTTGTTGTTGGTTTCTGTTACTTTTCACCCTCCCTTCCGGCTAAGACATGGACGATTCTCAATTTAAGGTCATTATTGTCGGGGGTTCCATTGCGGGCCTTTCACTAGCACACTGCCTATACAAAGCAGGCATTACCTGCATCATCCTCGAGAAACGATCGGAAATTGCGGCCTACGAAGGAGCATCCGTTGCGATTATGCCCAATGGAGGGCGGATTTTGGAGCAGCTGGGACTTTATGAAGCTGTGGAGAGGCTTATCGAGCCGATGCATGTGGCCCACGTCCGCTTTCCGGATGGATTCCATTTCAGCAGCCCCTACCCCAAGGTTATGCATGAAGCGTATCTTGTCATTTCTTCGATCTCGTATCACTTGGACTAGGTTAAATGAGATGGCCTTCATCAGCTTCGGGTTCCCAATGGCATTCATTAGTCGACAGAAGTTACTCCAGATTCTGTATCACTCGTTTCCCGAAAAATCGAGAATATACGTGGACAAAACCGTCAACCGCATTGAATATCAGAATCAGAACAGTGTACTGGTTCATACGCAGGATGGGCGGTCCTATCGGGGTGACCTAGTTGTTGGGGCTGACGGGGTTCATAGTTGTGTGCGGACACAAATGTGGCACATTGCCGACACGTTGCGGCCTGGCATGATCCCCAATGACGAAAAGAAGGGTTAGTGTGCCTAGAACAAAACATAACTAATCTGAGAATTACAGTAACCCCGCAACAATTGAATAGAAAGGAGGCTAACAAATCGCTGTAACTGATTCAGGAATGACCGTAAGTTATGCCTGTATCTTCGGCATCTCCTCGGAGGTTCCCGAATTGAAGATTGGCCATCTACACTTGAGTGTCCACAACGGGAAATCTTTCATCATTGCTCCTGGGATTAATGGACGGCAGTCCTGGTTCGTCGTCCTAAAACTGGATAAAACATATCCATATCGCAGTGCGCCACGCTTCTCTCCCAAAGATGCCGCCTCATTATGCGAACAGTTGACTGAAAAATACGTATGGGGGAATATTCAGTTTGCGCAATTATGGCAGAGGCAAGAGATCTACTCCATGGCCCCCTTGGAAGAGAATATATTCCGAACGTGGCACTTCGGACGCATTGTCTGTATCGGCGATAGTATGCACAAGGTATGGCTCACTAACCAGTGACTACAACGTTTCTGACAGCCGGATATTTAGATGACTCCAAACCTTGCGCAAGGCGCCAATTGCTCCATTGAAGATGCCGCTTCCTTGGCCAACACAATATATGATGCCTTGAATACGAAGGATCACCAGCACAAGCTCTCCGATCAGGAGGTTAACCATCACCTGTGTCTATTCAACAAACTGCAGATTGATCGCATGACCAAAATCTATAAGGGTTCCCGGATGGTGGTGAGGCTGCAGACACGTGATAACCTATTCTGGAGGCTTATTTTGCGGTATCATGTGCCATATGCTGGAAACGAACCAACAGAGAAAGCCTTGAAGATCCTCGAGGGCGCAATAGCGCTGAGCTTCATTCCGCTACCACAGCGATCAGGCCCCCGCTGGGTGTTGCCCAGAAAGACAGAAAAGAGACTTTTCGCATGGGCTGGGGCTACGTTGGTATTCCTGCTGGTAGGATTGATATGGTGGCCCCTTGAATCTATTTCGTAGTTTTTTGTCCCATTTTCTTCGTCTGTCTTCAGTAAACTTGGGGAAGGTCAGCTTTCTTCATTCTACGGTTTGTTTTTCGCAACCCCGGGCGCGTGGCAACTTACTCCTTGCACACTTTCACATGTCTCCGATGAGATATCATGATTCTGTCTATCCTTTTGTTCCCTCCGGAATTGAGACCTCCTGTTTGTAAGCTATAACAAAATTTTATTCTTTCCCATTCTTCACGGCTCTTTTCCTTTGCGGCCTCGACTCTCGTGTTGCCGAGCAGAAAACTCTGACTTGCCCATGACCACACGATGTTTCATGTTTCATGTAAGCGCTAGAACAGCGAAAGTAAGGGCAATTATATTGTGTCAGGGAGCCAAGTGGGATATGTGCGAAGGAATGGAGTTCACGGATGAAATATAGGAGCACTGGAGCACTGTGCGTTTGAGTACACCAGACCTTCTTGGCAAATTCAGGTGTTGTTGTCATGCTGTTAGTGAAAAAAACGAATGAAAAAAAAAGAAGAAGCAGTTTACCCCGCGGCGAGTGCTAACCAAAGTAAAGTGGAGACTTTCGTTCCTCACTTCAAAGTATTAGCAACAGAGTTGGACTGTCATCACTAGTGGCCGCCTCTTCCGGCCCGACCCTTGCCATCGTCACCGCCCCTCAATTACAGCGAAGTTAATCTCTTTATATTGCATATATGCTCTCCGTTTTTTTTCTATAAGAGAGCACTCATACCCTCATCATGTCAAACCTGGAATCATCATATTTTTCTTTAATCTGCGGCCAAGGATCATCTGGGCTCGCTTTCTGCTCCGAAAAATGTCGATCCTTAGCAATCAGCAGGACGCAAACTGTTTCGAAGCCTTGTTCCCTAGCATTTCCCGACTTCTGTCACTTGCTTTCTTTACCAGAAGCAATCGATTTCGACTCCTTGAAATCAAAAACTGGGCAACGAATCTAGAGTTAATTTGCTCATACCTATGCCAATATAAGAGTATGTTTCTTGCCACTTGCCTAATCTTTGAATGCACCAAACGTAGGCCCCTGATTTGGGAGCGCGATTATGGGAGCAAGCATGGTTGTCAATCGCAAACGCTCCCTACGAGGAAAAAAAGGTAGCAATACAGATACACCGTGTCCCAAGTTACCAGTAATTGATCCTACGGTAACTATCAGGTCTTTTGCTTCTTTCTAATACACTTCAAAACTTTGCAGGTTCTTTTCGTTCGGTTCGCGTACCTAGAGCTCAGCCTCATGATCGTTTTCATACTCCGGCTCAATGTCTTCAACATAGTAACCGCGTTCTGCATGCAACTACAAATATCTTCCCCAAGTATAATGGCCAGTATTCGTATAGTATCCCCAATTCATCAGAGTTTCATTTATTTGATTCTTGTCAAAGCGCAGACAAATGGTACAAAATCACATTAATTCTCTCTCTTTTGCCCGTCTATCAAGTTCCCAATGAAATTCACAGTCTGCACCCCGTCGATTCTGATGCATCCCAGCCAAGTGGATTTGTCCAATAGGGCATCGAGCAATTTCAGCCACGGCGAAAGCTTGGAACTCTACGGTACCCAAATTTTTAATGCCCTAATAAACTTGACGTTGGTTGGACCAAATTTTGCCATGAACGAGATATCTGCTCCGGCGAGCTGATTTCAAATTCGTTACTTGAGTACAGTATTAAAATCATTTCGTCGTGGGTTCTGTTGCACATTTGTCGTAGTGCAGGTTTCATTGTCCTGTGTTTGTATTCAGGGAAACAATTGGTTACACAAGGACTCCCTACAACATGTTCTCGGGTCAGGCCTTCTTCCATTTCTCTTCTCTTCTTCTTTTCTTGGCTTTGTGCCTTCGTCGAATGGACTCTTTTTTCAGATCAGATTTGCCTCGTCACATTATCTTAAGATTCAACAGCAAAATTATTCTCGTTTGGAGGTTAGGTACAAACGGAATAGCAGAGTATGGTCAGATCAAGACCCCAGAAGTATCCGTGCATTGAAGAAGTGCGTCCCCTGGCTCATTGAGTGCATCCTTGGTGTATTTCGCAAGTGGGGAGCTTTTGATATAAGAGCAGATTTCGCCCGAAGAGTAACCTTTCAAGTGGCAGACTCCTTAAGCAATGAAACAGTTCAACTTTGTCCCTTAAATTTTAGTTGGATTAAACATACGATGGTACTGCTCTAGAGTTCAGCCGCAATAGGTGGGGCTATACTTGCAAGGTTCTTCCAGTGACATATTTCCCGGGACCAAGCAGATGGAAGCAATAAGAACTACGGCCAGCTCCATGGATTGGTAGGATAGTAAAGTAGAAAGTCTGGTATATCAGAGAAGAGAAGCAGACATGAGATGAGGTAACAGAGCGAATGTGGTATCCATATATGTCCCTATGGCCCTTTTACTTGCTATTTTAGAGGCTTCAGAAATGCTACATATTGTAGGGGACAAATTTAATGCATTGGAATGAAAGTATAGTATGATTACACAAGATATTCTAAAATTATAACAATGCAACAAAGTCTGTATATATTGAGTTCCAGGAGGCCTAGACCGTATCATGTCTAGACTATTACCCTATACAGGTCTATCAGAAAGCAGCCGCCTTTGAATAGTCAACTATGGGATTTTAAATAACATCCCCAGGACCCAGAGATTCTCACTCCTTCTCTAATTAATAGAGAAAAAAAATCATATGTTGGTATTCATCACCCCTTGCGAACGGCAGGTACGATGCTTTATAAAATACTCGCATTCCGGATTAGTGAAATATCTCGAAAATCCACATGTGGCTACCTATTTGCACAGCAGACCAGAAAAACACAAGCCTGGTTTGTGCTCTTATCTCTTGAATAGCTAAAAAAATCTTTCACAGCACTGGCGTCAGTCAACTATATTGCGTTTATGATCAAGCCAAACGCTCCTAAGTGCGGACCATTTGACCATACTTACCACACATGATGTTATTCAGCGCGCTGCGTAAGGAAGGCGACCTGCTAAGGGACTCCTTTTCAAGAGCAACACTTTCGTTCACGATGACTATTGTTAGTATCTATCCATGTAGGTCCAATAGCCTAGAATTACATGAGCAGATACCACAGTCTCCATATCTCAGGTCCATTAGGTCGGTTATACAAGGCCTATTTGATCTTGAGCAGGGTCATCACCCCACCATACGGGCACCGGACCTGCTATGAAATTTGGCTTCAGTAACAACGTACTATAATGAGACCTAATTCTATACTTCTCGTAAGCCTAAAATAATGGAATAAAACCAGCAAAGAACTAAGATCTATATATATATTGCTACAAAAGGCCATTGTTTAGCAATTACCACATACCACATTAAATCATTTTACCAAGCTTAGCAGTAAATACTGTACTAAAGATCTTCGGTTCGTTGGTGCTACATAACGGACTATCTAGAATAAAAGAACAATCAAGGGACTGAATAGATAAGAGATAAACCTGTTACTAAAAAGGTCTGACTAGTATAATATCTTGCTTCACATTTTAGAAGGCGCATAAGTAGTAATCGAAATAGTTGTGGTTGTTATAAGACCAAGAATGCAGGTCTTTCTCAATTCCGATCCACTTTGAAAGCATATGAAGTACATACTGCCGACATGAGTAAGGGGCGGGCTAAAACGAAAAAGAATGATTGACTGCACATACCCAGCTCAGGTTCGTTGTCCGCCAATGACAATCACTTCCTAACGAATCCATAATATTCCTATGCATCGGAAAATTTGATAATCAACGTTAGAAGTTTAAATTGCACGTGGATCCAAGTCAACAACTAAACTCTTGTTTTATTTGATACCGCTCAACGCGAAAAAGTTCTAACAGGCTCTGAATCATCTCCAGTGTCACAGTATATTCGATAATCTTGGTGGCGTCAAGCATAGGATTGCTGTAATACAACATCGAGATTCACATCCCACCCGCGATATGCCTCTCATTAACGCCGGGCCGATTATTGAAGAAATCTTTGTTCCTGAATGTATTCTAGCCTCTGCATCAATAAAGATGACCTCGACTCAAGGGGCTCGAAACAGCTCGTCTTCTTACAACCAACTCGACAACCCAGACGGTGAAATCAAAGTTCAGAAAAAAAGGCAGCCCATAGTGAGCTGGGCGCCTGATGAGGTTGACATATGGGAAGCTCCAGGACGCGAAACAAGCCGTTCATTTGCTCTGGAAGAGATGAGAGGAAAGTCGGTCCCGACCGCCGAGGAAGATGGTGGACCAAGTGATCCTCACCCTCCGAGAAGCAGGCATATATCTTTCCGCCTACACTGGAGTAAGTCAATCCAATATTCACAGCCTGGAGGAAACTTTGAAGGCCTCTCAGGCAGCAACACGCACGGATTATCCAGAGAAAGAACGTACAGTGCCCCTTTGCCCCTTCGCCAGTCAAGCGGTACAGCCAGGAAAACCCGGAACAGCAGCCTTAGGAGCCTGTACAACATGGCTGATCTGGTCAATATCAAACGCCAGCGTCAATATTGGAAGCAGCTACTTATTGAGTATGGAACATACACAGCTCTCGCTGCTTTTGTGTACTTTGTTCTTGTGGGTGTGCCCCTGTGGAAAGGGGCTGTGTGTTGGCTCTATTGGGTGATGCAACATAAGCTTGTCTTCTCATGCGGCTGGGCCATTGCTATCGCTCTAATTATATTGTATGTTGCTGCCTATCCGTCTCCTTGCTAAAGGTCAGAAAGTGGTATACTCCGGAATTACTTACATATGAAACTTCGACAGCTTTTCCTTCATACCTCTTCTTCACACTTTTGAAAAGGAAGCGCCAGGACCTGAATATTACCAACAGCGTCATATTACCCCAGCCACCACAGATACTGCTCTTTTAATCCCATGCTATAAGTCGGGTCATATCATTGGCCGGACTCTCGAAGCTGCATTGAAGATCTTCCCTGCCTCTCATGTCTATGTGATCGCCAATGGCAACTCCTCAAGCCCCCTGGACAATACCGAAGAAATATGCGGAACCTATGGTGTTAACCATATCTGGTGTCCTGTCGGATCTAAAATTGTCGCGTTATTTATCGGCTGCTATGCGGTCAAACACTTCCGCTACGTTCTTCTCATTGACGATGACTGCATCCTTCCTCCGAATTTTCCAGTTGTCATTTCCCGCTTAACCAACCATGTGCGCTGTATTGGATACACAATCAAATCCGTTAGCTCGGATTCTTCGAAAGGGTCTTATTGTCAACAAGCACAGGATTTGGAGTATAAGTTAGCGGGTTTACAGCGCAGCTTCGCAGGAAGACTTGGCAGTGCCACATTCCCTCATGGGGCTATATCTCTCTGGGAGAGAACATTTTTGAAGGATACCCTTCGAGACCACCCTGGTTTCTCTATCAGTGAAGACTGGTTCATGGGAAATAGCTGCCGAAGCCTCGGAGGAAGAATACAGATGTGCAGTGCTGTGTTCGTGGAAACCACCACGCCGTCTGCTTTCATTTGCGCTGATCGCAATCGGAGCAGAGGTGGTTTCGGGGAGACAACAGTTTTGCAGCAGCGCTTTTTGCGGTGGAATTTCTTTGTAGCCAATGCAATGTGTCACAATTTGGTTTACATCTTTGGGTCCTGGAAGTTGGGTTGGTGGGAGATCGGGGCGAAATTATTTGTCATCCAGGAGGTACGTACCTACCTTACCTTAACTTGATGCGTTTGCTAATACTAATTCACTTGCGGGACCGTACAGATTTATGAGACCATGTTGTACCTACTCACACCATTTCTACTACCCATCTCACTTCTAATCCGACCTTTATTCTGTATTTCCCTTTTGCTAACAACATTTGGGTTATATCTGCTGAATGCCATCATCTTCAACGAAATTCATCTGCGGTTGAAGAATGAGCGTGTGAAACTGAAGGTTCTGCTCTGGTACTATGTAAGCAATATCTTCATTGCCACTGAGTTTATATGACTATCCTAACACTTTGAACGAGCAGATGCCCTACAAGGTCCTTATCAGTCTTATGAATGTCGCCAGTTGCTATTGGTCCTTGTACAAATATGCCCGCTATTTTGCAAAGCGACACCCTAAGCTTAACGAAGATCACAAGGCTGTCGGGATGGTTCTAAAATTGGAGGAGATGACACAAAAAAACCGAGGACATCGAGGGCGAGGAAGGACTATGACGGTCAGGACCGTTGGCGTACGTTAGAGAGACAACGGCATCACTAATCTCCAAGAATTCTCTTTTCAAGGACATTGTTGTTAATCGGAATTTTTGATGCAGACGAAATTAGCATTTGGCGGAACCTACCGCCCGCACCATAGAAGGCAAAACGGGATGGGCTGTAAACGATTCCTGTGGGCTTTCCTTGATCAATTTACGGATCTTGTTTTATCTCACAAGCAGAAGGAATGCTGTTGAGGGATATCAATAACTACCTAGTAATCAACATGTATGAAATAGGGATTACGGAAGAAATACTAAAATTTTGTCTGTCACCGGCCAGACTCTTACCCTCAACACACATTTCCCCTCGGGCGATCATTCGCGGCAGCTTGATATAAAAGGCCCTAATGCGGAATTTGTGACACTCCAGAGTTTAAATTTTCTTAAGTAACTTCATATCACCGTGGATCCCCTGAGTCACCAGGACCAATCCGTAGATACCAAGCATGGTGTGATTGTCAGTTCCCAATAACAAAATGGCCGTGGGCTGATTGACAGTACTATCACCCATGACCCTAACCATACACCCCTGTTTAATCCGGGATGACTGACGCAAATGAGCGTCCGTGAGCTGTCGTTCGTAGTCGAGCTTCGCCTTCGGGAGGCCAGAACTAGCAGTCGTCCCAACCATCAAGGTCAGGCATTGCGGTGCAGAGGATTGTAGAGAGATTTCTGATAAGCGTGAGAATTACGATAAGCGTCAAAGGAACTCATGAGCGAAGTGCTCTAGGTCATGCGGCATTCTGCGAACTCTCTGGATTCTCAACAACTGATGCAGGTTCCTTGCTCGTGTATTGGGTCTGGGCGTCCCTGGCCTTCTGTTGTTACTTTCCTGCTGACGGCTTCCAGCGGCCTAATAATCGCTGTCCTTTGTGGCTGAGGCTCAGATGATGGCCGAACGCGAGGACGCGTGGACCCATGGAGCCACCTGGCGTCAAAGCGGCGTGTCTAGATTTGCCGAGTAGATTGTACTTGGATATTGACTCGAATGGCATGCCCATATCCACACGAATAATCCCTGAACGCCACATGTTTGATGGTGGACCTGGCCGGGATCCACGGATAATACCAACCTTGACTCCGTGATGGGTCAATTAGAAAGAGTAGTATTCAAGGCGTAAGAATGTCAATCTAACCTGTCTGTCGCTGGCCTTTCTAGAGGCATCGAACCAGGTCGGGGAATGCAGGCCAGGGAATGCGGGCGGGAATGCGGGCCGGGAATACGGGCCGGGATATGATCTAAAGGCTTATATTGGAATGTACATTGACTAGGAAAAGTCTCCCAGGGCTGGCAATTCGTCCGGAGGCAGAGTGTTCCGGACCCCATGTGGCCGAGTGAATATTCATAACCAGTTGCCCAACGCTTTAGAACAATGTAGTCGAAATTGATACACAACATCATCATTTACGTGTTACCCATATAGCTTAATGCCGTCAAGAGTTACGGTTCCAGTACATGAATTGCTTCATCGATGTAATGGCGAGAAAAACACTATTGTGATATTTGCCGATCCTACTCAAATGCTGTTCTTCATCTTCACCTCCAAAAAGCTACGGAATGAGAAGTCAGCTCCCTTGCCGCCGATATTTTACGTTATTTCCGGCTAGCACCGCACTGATACGTAGTGGCAGGGAGAGTGAAGTGGTAGATTCGACGAAACGAAGAATCTGGTTACCGCGGGTTGAAGTAAACAGTTGTTTTACTTCCATCTCGTGTCTCGTGTTGAACATAGACCTTGAAAAGTGCCATGGGACTGCTAAGAGGAGGGATCAACTTCTTGATCTTGTCCTGCGGGACCTTGACGGCACTTCCGCGCGACTACTCAAGAAACTCGTGACCTACATATGTTATGCGAATTTGCACATTTGCCTTTAAATATTTAGCTTACAAAAAGAGTGAGCAATTAATGATTTGTTTATAGTTTCGATCTATAATCAGAATCTATCGCTTTGGTGCTACTGATTTTTTGCTTGTTTCCGCTACCTGCTATAGTCATAATTATGCTCATCCCTACGAATGTTCCGATCTCTTTGGTCGCCTGCCTGGCCACTAATAGCGGGAAGCGGATGTTCAGCTAAATACTCATCTTGCGGGTCTTTCTGAATAGTTTCATCATTTTTATTAGCAGCTTCGTCTTCACCATCGGTAATTGACTCCTGGGTATACCCAAGAAGATGCGCCTCCACTATCTCATCTGCTTCTTTCCCTTCATGTTGACTTAGACTCCCAGGTAAGTCATCGTCCTCGCTATCTGCAGCAGCCCGGGGAGCCACATCAAAGCCACTCCGCCCGATGCATGACTGCAGGCGATATTAAGCAACATAATTGACTACGCTGATGTCATAAAAAACAGATATGCTAACTATAAAAAAAGAAAAAGAAGAGGAACTAGGCTTTATTTCCTTGGTTTACTGCACAGGCCTGTAGTCAGGTTCGGATTGCTGAGAAGTACATATCATTCAACCTGCAGTGCTTGTACTAGAGCCAAGGCTTGATATAGATTGTCCAGGCCTCCTAAGTCCCCTTACATACAGGCTGTGTACCATCCACATAATTTTGGGATATATTATGTAAACGTACTACCTTTTGGTCGGAGTGTGATCTTTCATTCCAATGCATCGAATTCATCCCCTGCGAAATGCGACACAACCGAAGCCTTCGAGCTAAGGAGCCATGGGGATGAGAAGGCTTTGGGAGATAAATAGACACCTACATTCACTCCATCACCTTGAGATTGCTTCATCCCTCTGCTACAAGATAACTTCCAACTTTACTTACCTACCTAATCAAACACCGCACCCAATGAAGCTGGCCGTGGCTCTTGTTGTCTACATCTCCTTGATCCCGGGAACCCTGTCTCTGGTGGAACCTTGCAAAGAGAATCTGGTTTACTGCGGCTCAACCCTGGAGCAGTACCATGGTATGTTCTATTTAACTTAAGATTAAAAGATGTTTTTACGCAGTTCTATTACTAAAATGAAATGCGGCTTGAAAGGTTACACTCCGGACGAGATCCGCTCTTATATCAGCAGGTCTTCACTTGGCCAATACATCGAGGATGCACTCGATGAGCCGGAAAACGCACTATTTCGATGCACAGATACTGCTGGGGACCTGGATCTGACAGCATTCTGCTATTCAGGCTGCACTCAGCCTCCAACCGGTGATACTTGTGCTGCTGAACCTTAGGGTAAATACACTCTCCTTCCTCTATTCAGCTTCTTATTCTACACCTCATTAAAACTATAACACAGAGACTTTGAGACCGTTGGGCCTTCATGGCTGATACCCGGGGGTGAAATTGGAGGGTGTTTGGTTTTCTTGGCGTTTTAAACTAGGTTTTATTCTGGCTCAGTGGGTATTTCCTATATTCTATGCAAATGCGAAGGTCCTTTTCTTTTTAAATCTGTCTATGTTTAGTAGTTCATATCTCGCGGTAGATGATCTCCTGCTAGTCTGGCTGAGCAACGGGGGCCACTCTGCTCGACTGATACCCCTTGGGATTCCACTGACCGCTGACGCGGCTGGCTATAACAAAGATCGTTTGGTGACAGGTTCTCTGTCGGGCGATGATTCGCTTGCCGTGTAAACATAACATGTCTCGACATCCGACGTTTAGACTCGGAGAGGGCGAATCGATGCGTCTAGAGTTCCTTCGTTTCGACTGTATATATCAGCATCCCAACACTGCAGAATTGAAATCATCCATAGTCATCATACACAGTATGACGTGCCGAAATCTTTATGTCGCTTTTCCAAGGATCTGCTTGAACGGTGATATGCCAAATGTCGTCCAGGGCGCGGTGACTTTGACAAATATATACTTGATGCTCAAGGACAGTCGACGTAGGGGACGTAGGGAACTCGGCCATTTCCTGGAAAAAGCTGCTTGCGTGCGATATGTTAGAAGACGATTTCAGTGAGAGAATGATACACGCGCTCGGCTTGACTGACCTACAGCTGCAGCGACATCCAGAGTAAATGGTCTTTACACATGTTGCTCGGGATTGGATAGAAAAAAGCGTGCTTAGGCATCAAATCTGCCCAACATGTCCAAAGACAACACAGCATTTCTGACAGCGCCCTTGATGCATCGTCGTGTATATCCGGTTGGTTCGTTTCCATCCGCTCGAATACGTTGAACAGCTGAGCAACGCCGAGTAGGATCAGGTGAAACGGTATCGGACGGCATTTCTTTGCTCGTTGGCTCTTTAGTTGGCTCGGCTGTGACTCGAAAGTTGGCGGTCTCTTTTTCTCGGTTCGTAGCTGATATAGCCAATGTTAATCTGTAGGCTTGAAATAACGGGACTTTTGCCCCACCTTCTCCTTGCACGGAGATTTGGTCCAACAACCTGGCCGTCTGCGAAAGTACGGGTCACCGGCCATCTAGCAAGACGAAACATCAGCCCATCCCGGTGTCTGGCAAATTGCCAGGCTTGAAAAGATGCCAGATGCCAATTGAGAACAATGAGGATCACCCATTGGACGCCAGGAATCCAATCCACAAGGAGGCTATTCTTTCACGGTGTTCGAATGCCGAGAGACACACGGTGGTGTGAGCCCGTTGGAGTTTGGGGTTCGTATCAGGTAGACACATCAGCATGTGACCTGACGCACAGAGTCGACAGAGAGAGAAGGGCCGAGGTAGACGATCTGAACCTTACATTGACTCATCATCGATGCCACCAGTAGTCATGTGGAAGTGATAGACAGCATGCGATCGCATCGGTATAGGGGACCCGAGCAGCCAAGACATTTGCTCGCTTCGCATTCGACTCGAGTGACGGGAATATGAGGGGCGTCTTGTTGTACGATCCAAGCCAACAAGGCTTGAACCACTTGGACGAGTTGTTATGACTTACCTGTTCATAAAGTTCGCAGAATGTTCGCTTGGGACGAGATGATCAATTAGCTTCGTGGTCATATCTTACCGACGAGATCACTTACGATTGTCTTCATCAATGCAGTCACCATTCATGCCATGTTGGCATGATGTTGTATCCAGTTCGTCGCACTCTCCGGCTGTCACTTCGAAGAAGCCGCGCTGGGTGCACCGGGCAACTTCTGAGCCGCAAAGTCACGTGACGAACCCACCTGTGACAAGAAATTGTACAGTCGTAATGGGATAAGACCTCGCGATGGGGACGGCGAACACCCCATCATGGTGTGAAGGCGGTGAGGTCGAGGGCGGAAGACGCTCGACGGAGCACGCGTCGTAGTGCCCAACCTGGTCTTATCTCCGATCCGGCGATAGAAGGACTCCCCACAAGGATGTTTCACGGGTGGTGATGGGCTGCTCCTACGTTGAAAATTAGTAACCGTGTTCGTGTTTTGGAGCACAAATAATTGCACAAATAACTGGATATAGCGCAGCAGAAGACGCGATAAATCACTCACAATACCAGGAAGAATGGACGTCTCAAGCTTCTATACAGCGAAGCTCGCAATCGGATATCCGCACCTTTTATTGGCCAGCTCATTTGTTTTATATACTCTACCTAAGGTTTGTTGCGTGGTTGAAGCGGCGGGGACAAGAATAGTGTGTAGGCCCTGGCTTTGTAATGGGCACTAACGGGATGCTGTATCCTCGGGCCCTCTGGTGCGATGTCAATGGTTCACTGTCATTCATTAGCTTGTAGATCGGCGGGATAATCCATGACTCACTTGTTCTGGTAGCCAAAACTAGGGACGAAGAGACGGCAAAGAGCTGTGGTCCTTGCGCTCGTGCATTTCAGTCGAATGTCCTCGGTTCTATTGGAATCGCATCCTCTTCACGATCAGTAGAATTCAGACTGGCCAGGCTAAAATTCACATACCTGCGACGTGGATATTCGCACTTTCTCTTGGGAATACACACAGAGGCTGTACAGTAGATCAGCTCAGTCGGCTGCTGTGGCGGAGGCATGTTCGCATGGACACCTTGACCAGCTAACCCAAAACTCGTATCTTTGATCGGTTGGCGTGAATGACAGTGCATCTGGTGGGAATCATATCTCTCACAGGCACTGTCTGACTTGCTGGTCCGCGATGTATTCTATAAATGTCAGTACAGTGGAAATTCAGTACTGGGTCAATGGGGGAGGACTTATCAAGTGACTCAGACACAAGCCTGCTCGACTTTGCAGAGTCAGGTGAATAAATTGTAGAGCAAATTGCCGGGGGTAGAGGACGTATTTATAGGTTTCTCGGCTCCTTCTGTTGCGCAAGTGCTCTGCTTGGTAGACCGCGTTGAGGGACAACTCTCTTAATTGAGGCCTGTTGAAACCCATTTCTTCTTTTACCGCAATTATTTGCAGCGACATTTTTGGTGCCTTTAGATGCTCAGCGAGGGAGACGAGCAAGAGCCGTGTTGAAGAACAGGATGGTACGTCCCAGGAGATAGAAAGAAAAACAACCAGAATAGTACTTTTCCAGAGATGGAAATACTTAGCTTGTCATTGTGATACGTGAGAGTGTATTGACCAGTTTGAGAGTTGCTTTTTTATAGCCAATCCTCACTTGCGACAGATTCCTCTCTGCCTAGTCCCTCTCGTTCAAGTAACTCTATATTTGTTTCAAGTTTTAGCCACAATGACAACCCTCTCAATGACGATTGATGTTCTGGAGTGCTTTGAAGGGAATGCGAAAACTCCCACCCCCTCTACTTCTACCGATTTATCCCGTCCCTCAACGAATACCAGAACATGGCGCGATCAAATGTTATGTGGTTAGGTTAAGGAACCAATAATTCATCAGACCAGCAAACTGGGAACAAGAAAGCATTTCAAGACCCAACCAGCATCATACAAAATTCCTGCAATGAACAAACGCATACCGATATGATGAGATGAAAAACTGAAGCATCACAGGCCAGCTGAAACCCCACATGAAATTAGCCAACACAAGCCGTAAAATCAAAAGGACTTGTCAATAAAGAAAACATCATTATCACAATCCCCTCATCTTACTTACTTTTTTCCCCTAATCCTAGACTATCGAACAACTTGTCAAGTCCCAATCCACCAAGAAGGCCATTCAACAAACCACCCAGCCCGAGACCACCGAGCAGTTTTCCGACCAAACCCAGAACACCACTCAGCAGCAAGCCCACGTTGACATTGGAGTAAATGAGCGTTCAGGAGTTTCATCGGATTATGTTGGCAATATTATATAGTGCTGTTGGCCATGATTGTAATTGGAATTTTAGTGATTTTTCGAGTGTTAATCTATGTAACTGGATTGCCGTTCACTGGCCCCATGCTATACTTGAAGCCCGGAGGAAAAAAAAGCTCAACGCATACAAAATGACAGCATCTCTTTTCCGCACATCAAATAGATGTTCATCGACGGACTTGAAATAAATGTCGATTATAAGTGGGGCTTAGTTGCACTACTGTTGAGAGGTTTGAACATCAGAGCCTTTTGTACTAGGTAGCTCACCGTCTCAACGGCGCACGTAAGGCAACACCGAATCCGGGTTCAAAAGAGCGGGCACATTTGCATGAAAACAAATGCCGAACTTCATTTTCAAAGAAGGTCTAATCTGTAGGGCACCATGTAGAGCTAGTTCATCTTTGGTCGTGATAACCATCGCTAGTTAGTTGAGGAGGATGAAATGCCGGCGAGCTTGCAGTAAAATGAGTGTCGACTACATATCCTCTTTGCACCACGTGGTCTTTCTATCGGCGCTGGATCATCGGCAAAGAAGTGTATGTGACCAAGTCAAAGCAAAAGTACATTAAGGTCCCTCCTTTCTGCTTCTGCGTTGTTTGGTCTTGCTCGAGTTTTCTTGTTCGGTATTCTGCTACAGTATGAGTTTCACTACTTTTACATAGGCTCGCTTCGAACCCTATTGAAAAATATGCTAGCCTAGGCTGGGGTTAGCTCCAGATATGGCATCCATGGAGAGAGGGGTTGTGTTGATATTAGGATGCGGTCACGTGACACATAGTACCGTAACTCATCCGAATTATAAACGCGATCCAAGTCGATGCCCCTAACCGGCCCCAAGCCGAGTTTTCTATCACAAGCAATTTACTGCTGATGACCACATTGCAGCCGCACGACATGTGACATCCTCGTTCGCCTAGCGACAAAGTGATTCAAACCAAATAATTGTGGAGTTCCCGGTAAAGACGACCTTTGTCTCCTTCCGGCGACTACAGAAGCTAACCCCGGCTTCGTTGCTCTGCCACAGCTTTCGAGATTTTCACTCCTTCAAACAACATATCCTCAAGTCAAAACAACCATACCGTATATCGCGAGCAAAATGAGCTTGGTGACGTCCTTTTCCGACTACATAGTTTTCACCTTCGTGTTTGGAATATGGCCTCCCACCGACTTCCGATCTGCCGATACTATTGCCTACGATGTTGTGTCCAAAATTCTCCTTGCAGATACACCGAGGGAGCTCCGCAAACAATTGC